CCATAGTTCGCTACATTACTAACCGCCTTTGCCAGGCGCCTTCCCTTTCTGCTTCTTCGATTTTCCTTCTTCGAAGGCAGGCGCCTCCCCTTACTGCTCTTCGATTTAGAGGCGTCGCGCCGCTTTCTCCTCTTTTTCCCATAGTTCGCTTCGTTACTAATCTTCTGATCTGTTGAGCGCTTGTGCACCCGCGTGGGTGTGCTTGCTTCCAAATAAGATGTAGTAAAATGAGAAAGAATAAACACATGTCTCAAGTAACGAAGACTAGCTAAAGAAGCAATCATGCCCCTTTTATCAAGCGCCTGACGCTTGCATTCTTCCGTTCTTTATCAATTATTTCCCAAGTGACCACTTTTTCATCTAAGAGGATGCGCCTATGCTCGTGTTAGAGGATTCAATCTATCTTGACAATCATATGAAAGTGAGACAAACTTGTCAGTTTTCCTTTGAACACCCTGTGCCTTGCCCATTTGAAACGAGCGCCTAGCGCTCTTTTTCCATTTTCTTCTTTTTGCCAAAAGATACCACTGATATTCAAATGCTTTCCATTCATTGTATGAGATGCTACATTTTTATTTCGATTACTTGTGCTCTTTTAGAAGAGTGCTTGCTTCGATTCTTTGGCTAATCACTTGTCACCCAGCTTGTCGTTAGTTGCCCTAAGACCCAAACTCAACGAGGTGTCTGGCGACTCGCTCCTTTACCGAGGTGTATGACCTTCAGTGGGGTGCCTGGCGCCTCACTCCTTCGCTTATGTCTTTGGTAAGCATTTGTCATCCAGCTTGTCGTTTGTTGCCTTAAGACCCAAAGTCAACGAGGTGACTGGAGACTCGCTAATTTGCCAAGGTGTCTGACCTTCAATTGGGCACCTGGCACCTCACTCCTTCAGCGAGGTGCCTGACCTTCGGTGGGGTGTCTGGCGCCTCACTCCTTCAGTTATGTCTTTGGCTAAGCATTTGTCATCTAGCTTGTAGTTTGTTGCCTTAAGATTTAAGAACCAAAGTCAACGAGATGCCTGGTGACTCGCTCATTTGCCGAGGTGCCTGACCTTCAGTTGGACGCCTGACACCACACTACTTCGACGAGGTGCCTGACCTTCAGTGGGGCGCTTGGTGACTCGCTCCTTTGTCGAGGTGCCTGACCTTTGATACGGCAGCTGACACCTCACTCCTTTGGTGAGGTGCCTAGCGACTCGCTCCTTTGCCTAGGTGTCTGACATTTAGTTTGGCGCCTGTCACCTCACTCCTTCAGCGAGGCGCCTGGCACCCACTCCTTCAGCGAGGTGTCTAATCTTCAGTGGGGCGCTTGGCACCTCACTCCTTCGGCGAGGCGCCTCTGCCTCCTCGTTTCTAAAACTATGTATTTTCTCAGGTGTCGTTCCTTCATTCGATGGGCGCCTTCGGATCTCGCGTAGGTGAGTTCCGCTTTGTTCTTCCTAGGTGCCACCCTTTACAATTTTTGAACTAGGGGTGGCGTTGTCGTTCGCCTCTTCTTCAATTGGGGGAGGCGCCTCTGCCTTGTTTCTAAAATTATGTATTTTTTCTCAGGTGTCGTTCCTTCCATTTGCTGAGCGCTTCCGGAACTTGCGTAGGTAATCTCTGCTTAATCTTTCTTAGGCGACACCCTTGCGAAATTTTGAACCAGGGGCGGCGCCATCGTTCGCCTTTTCTTTAATTGGGGGAGGCGCCTCCCCGTATTTGTTACAAGATTTTTTCTTTTCTGAACTCTCTTGCTTGTTTGAGCGCCACCCTCCGATCTTTTATTAGGCACCGTGTTTAAGCTTCTCATTTTCCCGACAGTTGCTCTATCAGATTGCTCTAACATACTTGCCCCTTGTTCTTTGTTGCTTGTTTTTTGATTAGGTTGCCTCCTTCAGGAGACTCCGCGCGCCACCTCCTCCTTTGTTTGAACGCGCTCATCAGGTGTTTGTTTGTTTCCCTGCTCGAGCGGTGCTTCACCCTCTTTCGTCTTATTCTTTATTTGCGATGTAGGTTTATCAGCTTCAAGGCGTCTAATAACTCGCAGCCGTCAGCTTCTATGGGTGGCGCCTCCGCTCCCTCTAAAGGGAAAGCTAAAGCTTTGAGGGTGACATGTCCAGTGTGGAGCTCGAGCCTGAAACGGGCAAATTTCGAACTACTGACGACCCCGACTACCGCGTTTTGCGATGGCGTGGCTGAAGTCTCCCCACGCGTACCCCTGAAAAGGAGGTGACGCGCTTAGGCTTCTCCTCGAAGGAGGAAGCGAGCTTGAGTATCCCGTGCGTACCCTTGAAAAACAGGTAACGCGTTTAGGCTTCTCCTCGATGGAGGAAGCGAGCTTAAGTATCCCGTGCGTACCCTTGAAAAAGAGGTAACGCGTTTAGGCTTCTCCTCGACGGAGGAAGCGGGTTTGGGTGACCCCTTCTGTCAAGACAGGATTTTTTTGCGAGGGATATGGACAAAATATCGCCTCTCATGGGGACTCATAAAACGAGCGCCCGACACTCGGATAAAAATCCACGTGTAAGCACTAGGGCTCTTCCGCTAGTCGCGGGTATAGGCTTTGCCAAGATGAATATCTTGAGCAAGAATCGATTTCTCCTACGCGTACCCCTGAGAAGGAAGTAACGCGCTTAGGCTTCTCCTCGATGGAGGAAGCGAGTCCAGGAAGACTCCATTTGTTTCTCTATGATCACTTTCCGCAGTAGTGAATTTCCATTTCCTTTCTAGGAAGGCGGCGTCATCAGCTTTGAACGCTTCTTCTTCTGGTGAGGCGCCTACACCCTCCCGTGGGGAGTTCATGGGTGGCGCTTCGACCTCATGCATCTTTCCTTTCAGGCGCCTTCTTTCATCTGGGGCTCCTTGGAGGTCGGGAGGCGCGTGGTCGTTTACTTTTGTCAATGTCGACAGTGCTATCATGACTTGATCTAACTGCCCTTGCATGTTTGCCATTTGAAGCGCTTGCCTTTCTTGGAGCCTCGCTAGTTGACACCTCAGGCGCTCTGTGTCCTCTTCGCCTTCTGGTAGATCATCGTCATCGGATGGTTCCAAGCCTTAGACGGTGAGTGGTTGGGGATTGATCGCTTCTCGACCAACAATTTGCTTGAGAGGGGTCTTTGTTGGTGTCGTGCTCTTCTCTTCTCCTTTCTTTGAGATGGAGGCGTCTTTTGAAGTCATGCTTGGCCCCACGGTGGGCGCCAATTGTTTGAGCCCGATCGACTGGGGGTCGCTCGGGTCCAAGGGGTTTGGGGTGTCAGGCATGACCTCGAGGAGGTAGGCGCCCCACCTCAGTAGATGTGGGAAAAGAGAAGCAAGAAGACGTGTATAGAGAGAGAAATTAGAGAGAAGTTAGAGTAAAGAGTAGATAGCTTGCCATTCATGAGGAGAGAACTCCTATTTATACACATTTGAGGGTTAGGTAGTGGTCTGGGCGCCTGCCAAGCCATAAATGCTGTGGTCGGGCGCCTCAGACCTTCTGACACTGTACATAGTCCTTTTTGACAGAGGGTGTCCCCCTGCCCCTTGTCCTTGCTGATGTCAGGTGCGTGACCTTGTCTCTTGTCTCCCAGGCTTGTCTTTTTGCTCTTTTGTCTTCTTTCCTTCTTTATGCCATTAGCTAGGGTATTGTTTCCTTAGTTACTAGGATACCCTATCAGTTATGCATTTTTTCATAACCATATATGACCCACTGATTTTAAGTGGCATTGGATGTGATAGGTGAGATCAAACATTTTCTAATTTTTACACCTTTTTGAATCGGTTTGTATCTTTTTTTTTATTTGAATATTGAATATTTTTGCACAAATGAGACATGTTCATTTGTGATTTATTTGTACATCACCTTCGCGTTTAACTCAAATTTTCAAAGATTCTGCACAGAAGGAATTGATTCTTCGTGATTTATTATGATCTAAAATTTTTCCATAACCAAATATACCATCCAAGATAAAGTGATAACAGATGGTAATCAATGATAAAATATTTAATATATTATTATTGTCATATATTATTTTTGATAAAATTATTATCTTATTTACAATCATTTTATACTATATAGTATTTTCGTATCTAACCTCATATAATATTGAATCAAATTTGTATTCCAAAATAACAAAAATGGATGCCATTTTCGAAAGCAATTTGACTTTAAAATTTTTACGGGATCCGCTCTCCCCATTTCACCTGTCTGCACAGATTGAGACAGGTTACAGTGATTACTTACTAAGGGTAAATTGGCCATGAAAAATAAATTGTATCAATTAATTTTTTAATAAATTACATTTTAGGTAGTTACAAGAATATATTAATTAAAATTTTCTCTTTTTCTCTCACTTCCATAATCTCCGGCAAGATCCCCTTTCCTTATTTTTCACAATCTTTCTGAAAAAGAAAAAAAAACACGAAATTACTACCAATCCATTAGGCAACCACTACCACTTTGAAAAATACCAATACCATTGCAGAAATAAATCTATACCATTACACGAAAACTACCAATATAAACAATCTTCCAATATAGATCTATACCATTTCACAAAAAAATCAATACCATTGCAGATTTAATCAATACCAATACATGATAATCAATACCATTGCAACAAAAACAATACCAATGCGAAAAAACACTACCACTACGAAAAAAAATCACTACCAATGCGGAAAAAAATCACTACCAATGCGGAAAAAATCAGATCTAGGATTTTTATTCATTCCACATTTTCCAACCGCCTGTGTGAGAGAGAGATTGCGACTACCACTTTGAAAAATATCAATACCATTGCAGAAATAAATCTATACCATTAGTAAGGCTTTGAGGACGAGCTCCTTCAGATGGCGCTGAAGGAGCAATCCCACCGGGATCTCAATTACCAGCGCCCGTCGTCCTCCAATCAACGGAAGCCGGTCTCGAATTTCGTCCAGGCTCCCAAAACCGCCGGTTCGGCGAGGCCGGCGGCCCCGACTCATCGCCACCAGAAGAGCAGGGGTTCCACCCTGGACGACGACGACGACTCCGAAGTCGAAATGCTCAGCATATCGAGCGGTGACGAGGAAGTGAGCAAGGATCGGCCGCCGGCCAAAGGGAGAGCCGGCGGCGGTGGAGCCGGAAGGGGAGGGAAAGACGACGACGGGTGGGATGGCGGGGAGCCTGATTGCTGGAAGCGAGTGGACGAGGCCGAGGGCCTCTCGGCAACGGTGGGCCGAAGTCAGTGGCGGTTGAGTAGACCGGCAACGGCGGCACCCTGCACGAGCCTCGACGGTTACACTTCCGGAGTAGTGCGGTGGTTACATCGTGCGGATATCGGTCCAGATAAGTACAGCCTCCCTTATTTTTTATTTATTTTCCTTTATAATTGTCCTCCATAATTTTTTTCAATTATTATTTTCAACTTTTTTCAATTTTATCTTCTATACCTATTGCGTATTTTTTAAAAACTGTACACATGAAACAAAATTAGGTCCCCTCTTTGTGGTTAAAAAAAAGAATCCCATCTCTGATAGTGGGTCGTGAATTTCGCCTCGTGCGTTCTGGCCAATTTCGGCCTCCGCCATCGTGCGCCGCCGTGATGAAGCTCAGGCTTCCTTCAATCCCTGCCTGGTTTGATTTGAGGGTGCTGTCAAGCAAGATTGGGGAGGCAACATCTGGTTTGTTGGTTTGACCAATATGGCGTTCTTGCCTTTGCTTTCGGTAAGTCCTATGATATATAATTGACTCGTTCCTTATGGCGCTTTTGGCACTTGCGATGCAATGAATTGGTGTCTAACTAGGGGTTTTTTATCTATCAAATTCTTTGGGGACTCGCACTTGGTGATTTGGCGGATATTATCGGACAAGTGACGTCACGTGGCCGGAGGAGTCAAGAGCGGTACTGGAGGACATCCACCGATTGGACTGCGCTCAGCGTAGCTTCCACAGGGCCGCCCATTTTGTGGCATAGCAAGCCCTTTCATCGGAAGTTCGACTATTGGTCGACTTTCGCACGGTGTTATATTCTGTTCTCTGACTTTTTGACTTTTCGGTTTGTACCTGCCTATGTTAAAAAAAAAAAAAAATCTATACCATTACACGAAAACTACCAATATAAACAATCTTCCAATATAGATCTTTACCATTTCACAAAAAAATCAATACCATTGCAGATTTAATCAATACCAATACATGATAATCAATACCATTGCAACAAAAACAATACCAATGCGAAAAAACACTACCACTACGAAAAAAAATCACTACCAATGCGGAAAAAAATCACTACCAATGCGGAAAAAAATCAGATCTAGGATTTTTATTCATTCCACATTTTCCAACCGCCTGTGTGAGAGAGAGATTGCGAGGGGAGTGAGCGAAACCTTCAAAGCAACCATCTCAACGCTCGACGGGAAGTCTACGATGAAAATATATTGAGGGGGGGGGGGGGGGGGGGGAAGAGGCCTTCAAGGCGACCATCTGAGCGCGCGAGGGAAAGGGAGGAGGATCCCACCGAAGGGAGCTGGGAAGTATGGGTGGCCGACAGGAGAGATGTAGTCGGAGATGGATTTGGCTTGCAGGCGGTGGTGGTTGTGGTCTTGTGGAGGAGGTTGGAAGGAGGGGAAGGTTGCGACGAAGGTGTGCGGTGAGGAGGGAGGTGGAGAGAGAGAGAGAGAGAGAGGGGAAAATGGACGGATTGTGGTGGCAGCAGCAGAAGAGACAGCTGGAGGGGAGGGAATAGGGATCGCTCGAGAACAGTGAAGGTCGCCGTGCCGGAGAGAAAGGAGGTAGTATGGTTTTACTATAATATATAGAAATTTATATTTTAAAAAATTGTAATTAGGTGTATATCTTTTTTGTTTACATCATTACCCTTAATATAATCTTTATCATACATTTAAAAACAAATTAAAATTAAAATATTAATAATTAATGATGCAGATATTGATAGCCCACCGTGATTGCTCAAAATTGAGTAACCACGCAAACGCGCTTCCCTAGTTCCCCTTCCACCACTCAAACTCCCACCGAGAGCATCCGATTAGACAAGAAAAGCGAGCTAATCGTCGTCCTCAATGGAGAAAGCCGACGTCTTCTTGGGTTTACACGACTTCCTCGACCGGATGAGGCAGTCGTCTGCCGCCGATTTAGTCAAATCCATCAAAAGGTCTCTCTTTCTCTCTCTCCCTTACCTCATACTTCAATCATTGGCTGCAACCATAGGGAATACGAACCCTTCTCGAGCTGCCGGACTTGGTAGTTGCTACTTTACAACAATTTTCTCTGATGGTTCCATTATAGCTTCCGAATTCGCTCGCTAGTGCGGCGATTGAGCTTTATATTGGAAGTGTTTCTTTGAATCCGACTTCCAAATCTACCACACTTTTCGCTTTCTGTATGCACTTTCAATATGCCAGCTGATGTTAACACAAATTCCTTATGTCTATTTCGGTTTGCCACTGATGAAGATAGAAGTCCAATGTTTACCCATTCACACGACCCTAAACGCACATCGAAGAAAAGGAAATGCTGTTGAATCTTTGCTTCTTCGGTTGTAGATTGATTGAATTTGATAAATAGAGGAAACATCATGTTTGGTTTATCTTTGGGGTTTTAGGGTTTCCCCTTTAACGACATATTCTTGGAGGTTCTCTATTAGTTGTAGGCCTGCAGTTACTTGTTTCCCCATGTTAGGTAGTTAGTTAGGGTTATTAGGATTTCGTTTATTAGTGATTAGCTTATCTTTATTAGTTGCATCTTCTGGGTGTTTCTTTAAGTGGATCCAGCACGATAGAGGTTCTTTCATTGTATATATTGCCCATCTAAACTCTATTTTCATCCGAATCCATGATCGGTCACTAAACCTTTGGAAACCCCTTGTTTTTTTTTTCAGATCCAGCATGAAACCTAATTGTTTGTTTATATAGTAAAAGGCTCCCCTCTCAAGGTCCAAGTAGATCATAAGTTGTAGTGGAACTACAGTTTGATATTTCAATAACAATGACGGGAAATGTCTGTTGCTACTTCAGTTCCCTGATTGGTTCTGTGAAGTGAATGGCAAGCAAGTAATATCATAAAATAGATTTGATTTTCTTTTGCATCAACTAGTCATTGTGTCAAAAGAGCATATTGTTAGGTCATAAGCCGTTCAGTAAGCGTGAACCTAATTTATTTATATTAGATTCTCAAGTCTCATAGTAGCAAAAATCGTGCTGCTAGATGGGAAATAAAGGAATTCGTCCATAGACATGCCTGATGAGTGAACCCAAGTGGCATTGCAGTAATGAAAACAACAATGCTTATGCAACCACTAATGACTTCTTAGACTCATAAAACAAGGATCTGCACCAGGTTCTAGCTTTATTAAAATCAGCAGACACCCAATGTTTGGCACATACTGTATGTGATCATTTAGCTGTTACAAGAAATGTGCTCGTACAGTAGATAATATAAATACCTGACCATACCATATGAGGAGTTTTACCAAGGAAATGGTGACTATTAACATTATATTGCATGCTCCTGTTATCTATGAACACTGGAACCTGCTTATTAGCATGTTTCACATCAAGAAGCCAGCTGGTTCGCTGTGCTTGAATTTGGTTTTATTTGGTAATTTTTTATGAATATCATTTGTTGAATTATTGTTGTTTGACAACATAATCATTTTTGAATGTTTTGATTTTGTGATCTCAGCTTCATTGTTTCATTTTCGAACAATGCACCGGATCCTGAAAGGGATAGTGCTCTTGTACATGAGTTTTTTGGCCAAATGGAGGCAGCTTTCAGGGCTCATCCGCTTTGGGCAGGCTGTTCGGAGGAGGAGTTAGAGAGTGCGGGCGAAGTGAGTTTCTTCTTATTATCTCTGCAAGTTGAGCTATTTTAACTAGATGGTGGTCTTGTCTAAGGAGTTCAAATATTTTTCTTAATTTTTACTGTGAAGGGCTGAAGAATAGCAGTGCATTAATAGTCTGTTAAGAGTTCTGTGTTACACAAAATATAATAGCCTTTTGGATTCTCACTGAACCGGGTGGAATCTTATTAGGTTTTCTTTTTTTCTACGACCAATTCAAGAAAATAGGGAACATAGTTTTAAAAATCTTTGGCTGGTTTATTTGAGTTGGTTCTCAAACCTAGAATAAAGAGCGTCAAAAGAGGGAACGTTTCACAAAAAGAAAGAATAAATAATGAAGAGAATTCAATCTGCAGTGTTGGTAATTTAAATAAGCACTTGAGGAATAGGGCACTGAAGTTGGATAGTGTTGGCTGAATATGTGCTTCTCTTTTTTTCTTTTTCTTTTTACATTCCATCCAATGCCCAATTTCATAATCTGCAGATTATGCACAGATGTGACTCTTGTGGAGAACTAATGTAGCACAAATGAAATATGTCTATCTTATAAGCTTGAATATTCGCAGTAAAAGTTCCTCTGTTTGAAACTTGCTGTGCACCTATTTCTTAAATGAACTCGAGATCTATTGAATCATGCAATATTATTTCCCTTTATTTTTAATGGATGATAATTCTTCATTCACGAAGGTCTGTTACATCTGGGCTTTCTTTCGTATACAGGGCCTCGAGAAGTATGTAATGACAAAGTTATTTACCCGTGTATTTGCTTCACTTCCAGATGATGTAAAAGCTGATGAACAACTTTCTGAGAAGATGTCTTTGATTCAACACTTCGTTCGTCCTGAAAATTTGGATATTAAGCCACCCTTCCAGAATGAAACATCTTGGCTGGTATGCTTGTTGGTTTACTTGTAGTTGTATGCATAGTACTACTTTACATTGGCTTGTCATAAATGAACTAGGGAGACCACTTACATTAAATTCGTCATTTAATCCAAGGGATATAAAGTTCTGCTATAAGAAGTATGTACTCTTGATTTTATGTTACTGATATAAGAATTCACAACTTCCCTTTGCAAAATGTTTGATATTGTTAGCAAAAAGTTGCCTAGTTCTCCTCCTACTATGTCCATGTAGTTTAAGAATGAAGATAAGCTGGACGGCAGTCTCTTGTCATCTATATATACTTGTCTGTATTTGAATTAGAAATGCAGATATCTTAACCTGACCAATGGGAACTTCTGTTTTTGACAATACACCCCAAAGAATTTTTTTCTATAACCTATATGATAAAATATTCTGCCTTTTGCTCCTGACCAAACCATTATCAATTAATTCACTACAATTAATATATTTCCTAGCCGAATAGATATTTTCTGTTTTCTCATTATGCTCCCAAAGAGGCTAGAGTTAACCACATTCTAGCTAGCTTAGAGCTCAACCCACAATAGGGCTTTTGTCAACCAAGCTTTATAGACTGGGATATGAATTTCTTTTCCTCGTAAAGGATATGATATGGCGTCACTGACCTTTGGTCTATCATGCCACCTATTGTCAAATATCCTTGTGTCGTACTTAGAAACTCTATCTTTGTTGCCTTGTTCTCACCTTCATATATCTGGTGGTATGGCAGCTTGCACAGAAAGAGCTACAGAAGATCAATATGTACAAGGCACCAAGAGATAAACTTGTGTGCATCCTCAACTGTTGCAAGATCATAAACAATTTACTGCTTAATGCTTCTATTGCTTCGAATGAGAATCCTCCTGGAGCTGATGAATTCCTTCCTGTTCTAATTTATGTTACCATGAGGGTAAGATTATGACCAAATATTATTACTGAGCTGGTAAATGTAGGGATTGCTTAGCAATTTTTGCTCTACCAATTGAAAAATTACTATTGAATAACTTATGGTCCTGCATGATGACCTGTCAATTCATGGCACATCATGGATTTGTGCTTGTCGATTGACTTTGAACAAACATCAATGAGGTTCTAGAATAGTAGCAAGATGTTAAACATTCAGAATAGTATTAGATTAGCCATTTACTTCAGTAACCTAGAGTTTCTTTTTACTTGCGACTAATTAGCTTTCATGATTTTGCTGGAGTTCTCCGGATCTCTATGTTCTTTTGGGTAAATCCAGATAAGTCTTTTTATAATACTTCAGAAATTAGTTTAAGAACGGTAGTCGTTATTTGTCTTCAATTTTTACCTTTTCAGTAAGTTTCTTTGTTTTTCATTGGACCTGCAAATACAAGTCTTGTACGGAATACAAAAAGATTAACTAGAATGAGAATTCTCCCATTTTGTGTTAGTGAAACATGTGAATGCAGTCTACTTGTTTATGCATATATCTCAACATTTGCCATTTTTGGGACTTAGGCTAAGTGACTACCGTTTCAGCTTGATCTAGATCTCCTCCAAGACTTAGAACCCTACCTGAACAACCCCTTGGTTTGGCCAGCTTGCCTAATTCGTCGCTACTGCCATTAGAGAGGTTTCCTCGAGAGTTCTAATTTTCCCTGAAAGAGTAATGCACGAAACTGTGCTTTTTTGGCTAGTGTTACGACTTTGTATGTCTCTAGTTCTTCTCTTTAGCACCTCAACTATCTATACCTTATAATGTCATGTTTTCCTTTATGCGCAGGCAAATCCTCAACAGCTGCACTCAAATTTGTTGTACATACAGCGGTATCGGCGTCCATCTCGGTTGGTGGGGGAAGCAGCATATTTTTTTACAAACATGCTTTCTGCAGAGTCTTTCATATCCAACATTACTCCAACATCTATCTCAATGGAAGAAACTGAGTATGAAAAGAACATGGAATTGGCTCGAGCACTTGTCTCAACAGGTCCTTCAACTGAAGGTGTTACAACACTAGGTGCAAGTAATATTGTCAAACCTGAATTCAGGCATCATCAGGCTTTGCAGGAGAGGAACTCTTCACTTCTACCCAGAACTGCAGAGACTAGGTCTAGAACTAAGGATGCAGAAAGTTCAAAAGACGAGGTATCGTCATTGGATAAGGTTCCGTCGCTGTCGGATATAGAGAACAGAGGAGCTGCTCTCATTTTGAAGGAGGACATGGCAAGTCAAGTTTTTCGAGAGTACCCGTACTTGTATTCTCAAGTTGGTGATCTAACAATCAATGACGTGGAAGAGCTGCTGAACTCCTACAAACAGCTGGTTTTCAAGTACGTTTGTGTCTGTAAAGGTCTGGGTCGTGGTGGTGGAGATGGTGGCGAATCTCTTCTTTCCAGCTCCAGTAATCGAGAAACTGTGCAGAACAATGTGGAACCCTTGAAGAACCGTCAAGAGGCTGAAACAGTAGTAGAACAGAGTTTTGAGCATGACAAACAAGATAACAGTTTGATTGCAGAATCAAAGCCTCTGGATATCGATCCATTGGCAAGTAAAAATGAGGAGCATGAAGAGGCAGAGCCAGGAAAGCATGAAAACCCAGAGGAAAGAGTGGCTCCTGAGTAGGAATCGGCGAAAATCTCGGTCATATAGCTCATTGAGAAATCACTTTTGCACACAAGGGTGATAAGAACCTGGGCGAGCATATGTTTTAACATTTTACAGTTGGCACTTGGCACAAGCTTTATTATTGATGATACAAATGTTTCGACTTTCGAGCTATTCGTGTTGGGTATAACGTGTTCTAAAGTTGTTGTTAGTTCAACACTTCAACTAGCGTTTTGTGTTTAGTAATGTTGTTAACTGGTTGCAGATGTAACGTGATCATAGCTCAGTTCTGTACTATGTTTCCCTGGCATTTCCCCCCAAACTACTGTGACCTGGTACCAAAATATAATTCTTATTATCACTCTACTAGTAAAATTTCCCACAATACTCAAGTTTGGACATCACCTCGAGCGATTTTGCAAGCACATCACTGACGACAGACAATTCGTGTAAAACACAGTCGTCATTGGAAGCGATAAAGGTAATTAATCGCTCCACATCACTGACGACCCTCGGAAGAGACTGTATTGCATTACATCTTTTGGTCGTGGACACTGGAGATGGTGGTGGCTTTTCATTGTAGCTGTTGAGCCAATCTGGGTATCCTGGAAGCAGGAGCGTTTCTTGTCATTGGAGATGATAACTTGGCTGATTCTTCTTCTTTAGTTTTACCTCTCTTAACACCTTTGTGCCTCGTCTGTAGGGAGCTAGCCTCCTGAATCCATCAACCCGCAATTAGAAACTGAAATGGAGAGTTCCTTTCTTTCTTCCCAAGCACCGTTGAAGGCGAGATCAGTTAAGGAGTGAAACTCTCCAACATTATAACCTCATACCAGCGATTATCCTCAGCGCCAACTCTTTTTCATTTACCAAACTAAACTGATCATGATGCAATCGCTGGTACAGAAATATAGTTGATTTCCAATGTTTTGTACATGTATGCCAAATATATGCGTAACTAATAGTATCTAACCAAGCTCTGTCAAGGTAAGAGTTTTGCAAGTATCCTATCCATCCCCAAGCCCGGCCCTGCTAACTCCTAAAGTGGTAACAATGTCATGAGCAACAACACTCTAGTGACTAGAAAGACAAATTCTGTATCAACATGACCTGTACAAGCTCGCGCTGTACCTTTTGCCCTCTGCGAATCGTCAATGCTTCTGGGGTGGACTTGTTAGCAATTGCATTCCATCTTCAGGACTCACATTGCTGCTTTCATCGCTTCTCAACTGCTAAATTTCAGCAGTCCTGGCTTGCCTAATAAACACCACTAACAGACTTTGACATTCAGAAAAGTGCACTCCACACAGCCCCTTCTCCTTCACCACACCTTTCCTGGACAAATTTCATCTTCTCCACTGATTTGCAGATCCCACTGCAGCTCCAGTCAAAGGATGCAACACATACACTTCCAGCCTGTGCTTTCCACTCGCAATCTGCAGTCCCCAAATTTATTCACACGCACGTTAGTCTGTTAGACTATCCAAAATTCCTACCAACCAATATGTTTCTTTCAGAGATGCAGCGAGACAACTACATTAAAATGCCTAATTGCATCCCCAAATCCAACTACCTTGAACAGTTTCACAACATGCAAATCTGCATATTTAGTTGCAACCCAGAAAATTCTTGTTTCTAAGGGCGTTCATGACCATGGAAAATTAAGAGAGGAGCTCATGTTGAAGCCACAAGAAATTTTTAGATTACCTGGTGGAGTCCCACAACACATATTCCTGTCATCAATATGCTCAACCTCAAGACCGATCAACCAAGAACCCAGAGATACATCTTCATTGGCATATTTGTGGAGTACTGGCCTGTAGTAATCAATCAACACAAGATAGGACTCTCAGCTTTCGTATAAGAATGCACAACGGCCCTGGCACATAATTGTACCATGTGAAGCTTCCAATTTGTTAGGCTACAATCTTGTCCCAGAAGCAGTCCTATTTATATACTACTCTGCTAGAGATCTCATGTCTTTGTTTTGTTTGTCCTTTCCAATCTTTTGAACCTACGATTTTCAATTTATTGATCTGTTAGGTGACACAAAGATGAAAGAACTAATCTTTGCAGCCACAATTCCATTAGATTCAATCTTTTACTGCCCTTCTGGCCACTTTTTCTTTTCTTTGAAGCCTTTCTGGTTACTTTTGACAAACTGATAAGATAGAATCTTAACAAATGGAAGTAAATCTGAGCTTTTGAGGAATTGGATGCTCACAAAGCCTGTTAAGGAGACACACATGAAGATTAAACATGCTTACTGGTTGATAGAGATGTAGGTTGCAAGGTCTTTCGAAATAGCATATATCTGTCCTGTTGCATGTCGAAAATATTTGTTCTCTCCTTCCCCGAATTTCCAATATTCCGGCTCGTGATATTTGACATTCCTAAACAAAGTAATTGAATTAGCCTCAAAGTGCAAGGTCCCCGAAGGTGCTAGCTTATCATGAAACATCTACCATCACTACACTGCGAGAGAGAAAGTATTACTTCTGTGAAAGAACAGGCCCTGATTTCATGCATCCAATATACACCCTAGGCTTTGAGCGGTGACGAGCAAGGGTAGCAGCTAGTGTACCTAATGTGGAAACAGAGGTTAAACCTTTCAAATATAAAGGGTATACGGTTTGTCTATAGCAGTGGTCAACAAAAGAACTGAACGAAAGGAAACCATGGAGAGAAAGACAAGCAACACTGCATACCCAGATTGACATGAACATCATCATCGACCTTCACATAGTACTCAGCATCCCACTTCGCTACTGCAGTGGAAAAGAAAATCTTTGTTTTTGCAGAAAGTTCATGGTACCCTTCGACATGTTCCTACAAGATGATAAAAATTGTTGCCAGCATGATGCACTGAACTTCCGCAGTTGGGTCCGTAAAACAAAGCCGAATCATGTGCCATCCTTACCAGCCTTAGGAAGTCCTGATGCTGAGCATCTTCAGAATCAATGGCACGATCAAGAATGCTATTCGATGTTGCACTGCAACCACAATTTGTACCTTGTTCCATAAATTAACAGTAAAATAGAAAACATATGTTTGCTCTTAAGCTAGCTTTAATCTAGAAACACAATTCCAAGTTGATAGTTCGCATGGATCCAACAACAGAAGACTTATCCAACTTAGTATAGCTACTGAGTAAATCGAGTGCTAGAGAAATTCACCTATGACCAATCATGAAACGGATAACAATCCCCTTCTCCTTCTCCAGTTGCACAAGTTTTTCTCCTAAACGAAATACCAAAGCCACTAGAGGTTACCATGAAGTACGAACAAACATAATCCTTATAAAACCCTTAACAAGTAAGGACCGAAGGAGAGGATGCAAACCCTGTGGCATCCATGTCTCTCTAACTGAATCACGCCTCTTCCTGCTGCTAAAAGCGGTATTAATCCCAATAACCATGAAAACCTTGGGCCGATGCCCGCCTTCATGTGACAAGCCAGTCACAGAGGTAGCTGCTGCATTGCCACTTAAGCTCGTCATCTCCTGGGAACTCCGAGAAGCTGCCAATTGCATCTGAAGCATAGCAATCGACTTGTCTAGCGATCTGAAGTTGACCTCAAAAGAATCAGATTGTGGGCACAGATAGATAGATATCACAGTCTGCGATCTAACGAATTGAAAGCAATAGAGCTTTCCAAACTCACTCAACGGCGTCGTGGGTTTTAACAATCTCATCCATCACATCTTTTCCCTGCGAAGTAAGCTTCTCTTAATGCAACCGAGAGGTGACCACAGAAGGAAAGAACGGATAGGAGATCTGAAACCCAAGACCAACCTTCTTAGCAGCTGTGGAATCTTCAGATACCGCCTGAAATTCTTCCTGTTCACGTCGGCGCTGGGATAAGAGCTGCTCACCGTTGGATTCGTACGGAACCCATATCCTGAAAACGAGGGGGGGAGACGGGAAAAACCCATCAGCAATGTTGAATCCAGGTCAAACGAAGAATTTATAGAGTGGAGAAAAAAGACCTGTTAGAGAAGACAAGTCCAAGAGCAAAGCAGAAAGCACAAATCAACGGAATCCATTTTGCAGAGATTTTGGTGCTTCCGCTGTTGCTGTTTCGAGTCTTCATCTGCGGCCGGCGGGGAGGTGGGGTTGAATTCGAGAGAAACTGCGGGACTTACTTCGGGCCGGGGAGAGGCGGAATTTATGTAAACGTGAAGGACGGGAACCGAGAAAGAGACGAATGTGTATTCAAATGGAGGGAATGAAATACAGGTCAACGGGACGTGGGTTTGACGTCGACGCCGCCGATCGAGTCAATCACCATTGCCGGCGTTCGGTGCCAACGCCAAAGGATAGGATGGTGGTGGAGTTTGTTTATTATGTCCGACAGCCTGTCCAATGTGCTGCCTACACCTGGACGCGCAAGGAAGCTGGCAGCGGAGTTTGTAATTAAGGCTGCAAACTTGACTCTTATTTGGCTCGAGTTAGCATTGTTAACGAATCGACGAGCTCTATTTCAACTCGACTCATGGATGAGATAGTATGCCTATTCCTAAAAAGTTGAAAAAATGAAACCTCTTATTAATTATAAATTTTTATGGTAATTAATTTATGTTGTATTTAATAATTTGTATGAATTAAAAACACATATTAATTACTTTTTTCCCTCAGTGCAATGGTAGTTGTATCAGTGCAATGATATTAGTGTACATGTGTAATGGTAGATGTATCAGTGTAATGGTAGTTCCAAAAAAGAAACGTAATTAATATGAGTTCAGAATACAGGTGCAATGGTAGTTGTATCAGTGGTAGTTAAAAAAGGAATGTAAGTAAGATGAGTTTTTAATTTCCAAAGATTACTAAACGCAATACGAATTTAATACAAAAAATAACTATAATTAATAGGGGTGTCATTTTTCCAACTCCTTAGAAGGGTTAGCATGCTAACCGATCCCTTGACCCATCTATCGGCTTAACCTGTAATCCTGTATTATTCTAAACAATTGAACTACTAAACTACACTATTAATTTATAACGATTAAATTTTTATGATATATATAATACATATGATTAATTTCAATTTTTCATCACTAATTGATCACATGTGTGTATACTTTATTAGTATCATAATATTTAGAGTAGACACTAATTATTATCCAAACTTTTCCCCAATTCTTTTTTATTTGCTAAACTTATCGAACTACTAATAATTACGAAAATAATGGACAATTAATAGGAGGTCTACAATGCAAATTATTTTGTAGTAATGCAACATCATATCGCCCGTGGGCAACCAAATCTCTGCGGAGATTATAGGCCTAGACAAAAAGACATAACACCTTCTTTTAACACTTATGGAATAAGATTCCATAAAAACAAGATGATATGAGATTTTGTTATGGGACAATCCAAGTACCACATCGGTTATACAAGGGAAGAGAACCTTGTATATTAGCGTCCACCAAGCTCATTTAGTACGAGGCATTTTGGGAGGACACCCAAGAGTAAAACCGTGCGGGGTTGGCCCAAAACGGAAAATATCGTACTAATTGAGCAGCCCGAGTTATGAAAAGTGGTATTAGAGGATAGTAATCGCTGAGTGGAGGACACGGAGTTCGTGGTCCTTGTCTCTAGGGAGGGATTGTTATGAGACAATTCAAGCACCACATAAAAATACAAGGGAATAGACCTTTGTATATTAGTGTCCACCAAACTCATTAGTACGAGGCCTTTTGGGAAGGACACACAAAGTAAATCCGTACGAGCATGGCTCAAAGCGGACAATATACGTTGAAGATGACACAATTGTCTAACAATTATACTGTACTTTTAAGTGTCTTCATAACAACAATAGCAAAAGGTTACTATCGCAATTCACATGCAAGACACCTACGATAAAAACAAACAAACTTAGAATTTTAAGGAAAAATATATATAAAAAAACTCTATAGAGTAAATCAAATCTAAGAAGTAAATATTAAAATTACCCAAATCCACGAGAGAACAATCATTGCTTCAGTCTTTGTACTGATTATAACTCTCTTACTAGTAAACATATCTATTAATATATATGACTCCTCTAATTATATATATAATGATTGACATTCGCAATGATTCGTCAAGTTGACTGATTTTTGGAAGCGATTGACCGCTTAATAAAAGAGATAGACCACTTTTGTGGAAGTAGTAAACCGATTTCTTATTATGTAAGACGAGCACTTGGCTAAGTTCAAACTTTTGTACGACGTCTTCTATGATTTCCATAATCACGTCAACCTCACAAAGTGTCCAAATTCTTGAGACGTGAAACATTTGGCAACTTTTGATTCGACTTGCAAAGTAATTGCAATCATTCGTCTTCAGCTGCAGTTCCTCAAGTTCTCTAACCAACTCTTGCAAATACTCAAATCAAGATGTTAACAGAGATTCCAATTCGCCGGGGCCTTGTATCGGCCGCCCTGCAACAAAACCGGCCTAGTTTCCGCCGGCATCTTCTTCCTTTTGACAGCAACAGAGGACTGGAGTATTGCTGCCCACTGGAGGACTGGCCTTAGTTAACCATAAGATAAATCGAACCAATAATCGAGAAAAGAATTGTATTTTTCTTAAAATATAAATTCCAATATACATGAATAGCTTTGACACGTTAAACCTTAGTAAATAACAAAAAATACAAAGCCAAAACATCTCAACTTAAACCATAACGCCATAAACATCAACATAATATCATCATCTGGGAGAACGATCGTCTCTGCTCTCTGGTGAAATGTGGTTGTGAATGAAGCAGGAGATGAGATTCTCACAATTTGGAATGAGACTTAGATCTCGTTGGGGGGAGTGGTCGAGTGGGTTGCTAACACATATTGAGAAATTGGTTGGGGTCCATGATTTGGTCCGGTAAAACCACGAGCTAGACCAGATCATACCAAGAGATCAAAATATCATATAATACAGACCATGGACCACACCAGACCATTTCCATAGCCCGGACAAAACTGTGCGGTCCAGTTTGGTCCACGATTCTTCAAACGATTTGATCTATTTTCCCAACCTGGTTTATTCTATCCAACCCAATATTTGTTAAACCGAGATTCGTATTGATAGCTCGATTGAGAAAATCTTCTTTTGGAGTTTTAGGTATTTTCTACCTTTTAGCATACCTTTCTCGGCCCTTTGGCTAGTATCAAGTGTAGGTAATCCGTGGGAAAGAAGCTACGAAGAAGAAGGTATACAAACGACTTTTTTAGCGGTATACAAAAAACTTCAACATAAAATACTCTATCACTAACTTTTCCTCTTACCACCTCTAATACGATTTTACAATCCATAATCTAATCTCATCTATTAGTAAGTGACCCCAAATTTAAATGGTGGCCCCATATTTCTTCAATCGACTCCAAGATCACGACCTGAAAAGAAAGAGAAAAGTGAAAGCAACAAATTTGACCGAGTTTTGGAGGGAGCTATCGACTTCAACTTCTCTAAGTTGTGAAAACAAAGCGAAACAGCCCATCATAATCATATCCATGATTTTCACTCATTCATATGCACCAACTCTCTCCATCCTCCCTTCCCTCCCTCAAGCTCACAAATTTCCAAACTCTCCAATCTCTCTCTCTCTCTCTCTCCACGCTTATGGCCATGGAAGAGAAGAATCAATAATTAAATAAAAAGGGGGCATGTGGAGCACAGGAGCAGAAGCTCTCACTCACTCCCCCCTCATTATTCTTATCATAATTATTCTCGAAGGTTATGTCCATAACCCTCTGTCCCCCATTTCACCTCCAAAAACCTGTACGCCTCTTACTCTCTCTCTCTCTCCCTCTCTCTGATAAAAGGCCAAAACAGAGTACAGATCTGCTCTGCCCAGCTCTCTGCAATTTTCCCCCCCTGCAGCCCAAAATTGAGGGGGAGAAAGAAAGTGGGGGTATTATTACCACTCTATCAGTCCTGCCCAACAATGGGTAGCAATGTCTACAGCTACAATCACCACCACCAGCAGGCAGTGGCAGAAAGCAACAACAATGGCGGCCGCAGCTGCGACAGAAGATCCAGATCTGCCCTGCCCATGCTCTGTTCTCGCAACTCCACCAAAGACGTCGTAGCAGTGCCAATCCCAGCCAGATCCAGCACTCCATTCTCCGGCGGCAGCGGCGGCAGTGAGAGCGAGGAGCCTGTGTCGCCGAAGATTGGGTGTATGGGTCAAGTGAAACGGAACAACAGGATCGGCGGCTTCCCAGCTTCCGCTTCCGCTTCCAGTTCCTATTCATCAATAGCGGCCAAATTCCATCCGCCGCCGCTGCCAGCTGTCAAGTACTTGAAGCTGAAGAGGGTTTTCTCCGCCAGGAATCTCACCACTACTGGTAGTGAGAGGCCCAATCTCGTTAGTAAGAATGGTAATGTTGATGCAGATCGGAGGCAGAAATCTTCTTGCTCTGCTTCTGGTAAAGTGGCTGTCAACATTGAGGAAATCGACCCGCCTCTGCCGGTGAGGAGCAAGAGATTCGAGAAGGAAGCTACCCAATCGGAGATGAGCCTTTGGGAGAGGAGGAAGAGCGGGAGGATGGGTTTGAAGAGTTTGGAGCTTCAGGGGATCGTTCCTCAACAAATCCCGTCCTCAAAATTCCAACCCACTACTGTTTAATTTATTACCACACAGTTACAGATCTGAATATTTGTTTGTAATATGAAGGGGAGCGAGATAGAGAGAGTTTCTGTTCAATTTCGTGGAGTAATAATGCCAATAAAGATTGCTGCTGCTGCTGTTCTATTAGTTTTACAGCTCAATTGGTTGGGTCGGATAAGAAGAAGAAGAAAAAGGGAAGAAGACAGGGGAACGTGGATGTATGTGTGAAGTGTGATGCTGTGGGGGTAATGTCTGTTGTAGTTGGTATCGGTACGTGCTTGCTTTCATGTATCTGATGCGATCGTATTAGAGATTGTATCGGAAAAATTAGTGACAAAATATTATTCGATCGGATCACTGATACGATATTGATCGGACCGCTGATACGATATTGTTATGAGGCTGGTCATTGGATCAACTAATGACGGTAACAAAATAACTTGGGGCCAATCTGATGGTAGAAAACTGGAATGGTGGGTGCATGTGGGGATGTCGGGAGTACAGTCATGTCATTTTAAAAGTTGGGAGGGAGACGACTGCAGCAAGGGTGGCAGTGGCAGAAGTGGCAAAGTTTCAACATTAAAAATGGGAACTTTTGTTTGCGTCCAAGGCCGTATGCTTCAGCTTTTTTCTGCCCAGATCATCAGACCACAAAACTGAACTGGGAGTTCCAGCAAAATCATTGGTTGCAGGGCTTTTCTTTCCTTTTTCTCTCCATTTTGTGTTTGTAACCCACTCATTCCCGACCAAAAACAAGTCATACAAGTCAACAACCTAGTATTCACCTCATCAAAACGGTAGTTCAACTCTTATAGTTGCATAACAAGAACCGAGAAAAATAATTCAAACGACACCTTCCTCATCTCCGTCATTGGTGGTAGGGACTAAGGAAAGTTGCAGACCTGATCTAGAGCGAAACTCGGACCTAGAACCGAGCACTTCTGCAAAGCCTCTTTATTCCAGAGTCGGTCTTAGGCATCTTGAGCATCTCGTTACGGTGCACTTAACTGATGATCGACTAATATGGCACTACTCCACCTCAGCCGAATACACGATTAAGACAGGTTATCATGTTCTTACAAATGAACTAATTAAATTCTTGTCATCCGCCAGTTGTTTTGGCTTTTGATTGCAGGTTTTGGAAGCTCTTGTGGAACTTACCGGTGCCCCCCAAAATTGAAGATGTTCTTTTGGAGAGTTACTCGAAGGTTTTTGCCTCTGCAAACTGTGCTTTTTGTCTTGGGGAGGTCTGCAGGCAATTGGAAGGGGCGTTGCTGGGCGGTGCATGGTGGCATCGAGTATCTCAAACTTGGCTCGTTTACTAACGAGTTGAATATCGATCGAGTTTTTTTTTTATACGAAGGCCGAGTTGTTGGCGAGTTGCTTGGCTCATTTGCCAACCGAATTCTAATATGTTACATGAATGGCTACAGGTATCCATCCCATCTTTTGAGGTTAGCTCTGTTCTTTATATGGGATTCAGATCAATTTGCTAACATCAACCTCGAGACCTCCAGTCCAGGGCCAGCGGCTTTTAGGTGTCGATCTAATACCTTGGGATCTGAACATAATTACATATTACCACTAGCTTATGGCCCGGCCGATTGGCCGGTGGAGTTTTATCTCGTCATTCTACCTTGTTACTATTTTTGTCTATTTCGAGTACTTAAATTTAGTAATAGTGCTACCTTACTATCAAGTACCTATGTAAGGGACATTATTCATGTGATAAAATAACTAATGGCCTCATTTCATAGCTTCAATTATTGTATTTATCGAAGTATGAGTTTTAGGTAAAAGGATTACTATCGAGTGTCATGAACACTAAATTATAGTTTATCAACATTCTTTCATTTAGTTCTTGTATATTCCGAATCAGGCCATAAACTCGGGACAGGTTACGGTGTTTACTACAAAGTAGTAATCACCGTGGATACTAAGGGTAAATTGGGTATGAAAAAATAAATTATATTAATTAATTTTTTAATAAATTACATTTAAGGTAGTTACAAAAATCTATTAATTAAAAATCTCTCTTTCTCTCACTTCCGTAATCTCCAGCCAGATTTCCTTTCCATATTTTTCTCAATCTTTCTGCAAAAAAAGAAAAAAAAAACGAAATCAATACCAATCCATTAGACAAACACTACCACTTTGAAAAATATCAATACCATTGCAAAAATAAATCTATACCATTACACGAAAACTACCATTGCAGAATTAAATTTATACCATTACACGAAAACTATCATTCAAGAAATAAAAACACTACCATTTCACAAAACATCAATACCATTCAAGAAATAAAAACACTACCATTTCACAAAACATCAATACCATTGCAGATTTAATCACTATCAATGCGACAAAATCAATACCAATGTAACAAAATCAATACCAATGCGACAAAATCAATACCAATGCGACAAAAATAATACCAATGCGACAAAAACTATACCAATGCGACAATAACACTACCACTACGAAAAAAATGACTACCATTTAAAAAAATGACTACTGAAAAAAATGACTACCATTTTAAAAAAAAAATATACCATTCCAATGGAAATTCCTAAAGGGAAAGAGCTTCAAGCACAACTCTCATTCAGCTGATTAATGGCGCTCCCTCCTCCCATTGAAATCACCCAATTCAGTTTCCTAATCAATTTCGCTATCAACCTAATAAATTCCCCTTCCCCATCACTTCCCACCTCCCTATTCCGCCATTGCCGAACGAGAAAGAAGAAAATTACAGAGCTAATGGCATGTGATCCTGAAGAAGACGAAGCAGCAGAGGCAGAGCGAGGACTGACTTCTCAATTTTTTCAACTGTTGCTCGGCGGCGGCGAGGGGTAAGGGAGGGACACCATCGGGGGGAGGGAGGGACGCCATCGACGGGAGGGAGGGGTGGGTCGGCGGGGGGAGGGGGTGGGATGGGCAGGGGAGAGGAGGGGGAGGAAGGAGGGAGGGGTGGAGGAGGAAGAGAGGGACGGTGGGGAAGGGGGGAGGCTGCCGCCTGCCGGCGCGTGGGTTTGGTTGGAAGGAGGAGGGTAGAATTAGGGTTTGTGTATATATAGAATAATCCAGTGTGGTTTATTTTTTGTTTCCAAAATTATCCTTGAGCAATCATAATCGTGAGATTAAAAAAATAGGAAAAAGATAAAAATGGATGGTGGATATTGATGTAGCCAAGGTGGCTACTAGAAATTTAGTAACCAAGCTAAATCATCCCCCATAAACTCTTCTCTTACTAACTCCATCAAACTAATTGAATTCTAGTAGATATTCGAAATAAGGATTCATTATGTTACAGATGACTTACAAAGTGCCCACTACATTGTTGTAATCTCATTTGCAATTGCATATTCAATGTCATGTAGGATTTGCAATTGACCAAATTATCATTGATGTAGTAACTAATGCTCTAAGAAATGATTAGCATAAGAGCATATACATTGGTCTTGCATTTTCAATTGTGGTCTTGCATTTTCAATTGCAAGATGACATATCATGTGTTTCTGTAATTGCAAAACTAATTGTATTAATGTGACTATCCATGGTATATTTGCAAGTTTACAACAAATCCAATTGCATATAAGATCAAAATGAGCTAAAAGTATGAGAATCCCTTTTTTCTTAATTTATTTACCATTTTACTTTATTTTTTTCATAATTTAAACCCGATATTTAAATAAATATGCAATTGCAAGTGGATTGCATTTATTTAAGTACAATGACATTAATACGATTTGGATTGAAAAATTATTTATGTGGCAATGAATCCTTGTGTGGATTACCTAATTGTATTTTTTTTTCGGTAATTAATTTCAAGCACAACAGAAAATACAACTAAATAAACAAATTAATCAAAGAAAGAGGTTAGAACAACTTTCAAACTGACGAAAAAATGGGAATGGGATTATGGGAATAAAAAAGAAATATAAAATAATTAAGGAATGGTGGGCAGGTTGGACCAATTTCTACCGTAAAAAATGGTAATGGGGACCAAAAAGAAGCATAAAAAATTATTATAAATTGGTTGTGCAAATACCATGTCGCCCTTCCGAATTGTACGGTATGAAGAGCATAGGCTGATGTGGCAACTTCTTTATATTGACATTCCCTTATAGTTTTGAGTTAGAATACATGTATTACATTTTTCCTGAACCCACCTATAGTCACTCAAAATGAATGATTGTCAATCTCTACAAAAAGGTGAGATTGTTAACAAATGATTGTCTACCCCATTTTGTGCTCAATCATTGTCCCTCTAAACAAAGTATTTTCTTAATACATGCATTGAATCAAACATGCCCTAGATCACCAAAACGCTTATTCATAGAATCAGTCTTTTGAATGTATAAAGTGTATTAACTAGATTCAAGCAATTAGTTTTTTATTTTGTTGCTGACAGTGACACGTAATGTTTTGGGTGTTGGTACTTGGAACATGAAATTCTGTTGCCGTTGAATAATTGTGCAGGAACTGAGTGACATGACGGCTATTAAAGCGGAAAACATATTGACAACGTTGCTCAGCCTTGAACTGACAATGGGTCGGGTTGGGTTGGGTTCTGTCAAATTCAAATTTATAGGTTTATTCATGGAAAAAATTCGGGGTAAAATTCATTGGGTTTGAAAAATTCAAACCCAACCCGTTGGATATCCGCGGGTTCATGTGTACCCATGGGTTTTTGTTGCAAAATTTTTACAATAACGCATTCCTATCAAAATAAAAGTCAAATACTCAAATATCAATCTCTCAATACAAATTATCCATATATAAAACACCGTTCTAGAAAATTCAAGCAAATCACAAATTAACCATACAAATTGTTCAACACCAATCTAGAAAACTCAAGAAAATTGAAGCAAATCACAAATTATCCATAAACAACATGATTAATTGGAAGCTTCTTCCTCCTTGTCAATTAAACTTCTTCACTTTCCACTCGATAATATCAACTTCATTCTAGACAATTAGGAAGAAAAAATTAGAGATGTCTCCACAAACATGAAGAAGATTTGTTGTTTAGAATATTTAATATATCGGGAAAATTAATTATATGGGTGTGGGCGGGTACCCATGGGACGGGTTTATCTAAATTCAAACCCAACCCAACCCGATGAATAGTGAACGGGTTTAAACCCGAACCCGGCCCAAAACCCGTTAACTCGAGTTTTACCCGCGTTAACTGGGCTGGGTCAGGTAGGGTACCCGTGGGTTCGGGTTTTGTTGCCATGGGTTTTCGATATTGGAAAAATGTAATACATGTATTCTAACTCAAAAATTGGGGGGAAAAACGACTTAATCTTACCATTACTTGTATTGGATAAATACCTCACTTGAAACTCGATTTTGACTACATTAACTAGAAAAAATCACGATGACACGTGAAAACATGTTGATGACTTAAAACGTAAAATCTTAAGATTTTAAATTTAAAGCGTAATTTTGGCTACACCAACGTACCGCCAGCAATAAAATACCGCAAACAACCATTTGATTTTCTACTAAGAAAAAACCAGTACCTTGATAGAACTGTTGCCCTTGTGCTTCTTCAAGATGTCGAGCAGAATCCGTGTCCAGTAACCTCTATACAAGGAAGAGCTCTTACAAAAGGCGATTAAAAACTTCCCGTAGCTTTCCTTTGGTAAGGAGGGAGAGTGAGGATACAAGCTACAAAATAGGACTCCTTGGAATGTTGTCCTTCATTTTATATTATTTAAGTGATTTTTCAGATGAACTCACAACAGTAATCAAGCATGTGTTTATAAAATGATCGATGATCTCACACCTAAAGACCAAGTTAACAAAATCATTGTTGACTTGAAGTCTGAAAGTATTTGCAAAATGGCATCTCCCCAAGTTTCAAATTGGAAAGCTTACATGAAGGTATGACTCAACAGTCAACTTACGTGGAAGCAAGTCATGATAAGGGCAATAAGAAAAAGACGTGAAATGGACTACTTGGGAAGAGAAATAGCAGACCATAAAGTTGCAGCATCATTTTGAAGCTACTGTGTATGAAGGAAGCTTTGATTTGCAGAAAGTTGCTTCGGTTGAATAGGAATAAGGTTAAGAGTGAATATGGATTGTAATGGTCTTTAATCTGTTTCCTTAAGTTCCTTAAGCTAAGACAAATATTTCACCACTATAAAAACGTTAAGAAAGCAATTGAAGAGCAAGATTGTTGAGCCACCTCGAACGCCCGCAAGGTTGAGAGCATACTTGATGAGCACAAGTTCCCAAAGAATAATCCATAACCAGAAGAAATAAGTGCATCTGAAAGCATTGCTTAAACTGATAATTCAAGGCAGATAGCAGACTGCAAGGCCAGGCTGGATTATGACTTGATCCGTTAGCTGTTTGTCAAAAAACAACTAGCCAATCTTATACAACAATGTACTATTGCACTGAAAAACATACAAATCCATTGCTGCAACGAGTATATGTTTCTCGCTCGGATCAAAGTCGCCAAAAGAAGATGGCCGAGGAGCAAGATCTGGCTCTCGGCATGCTTCACTACTTCGTTCAACCAATTTTCTGAAGAACGATGCACCAGTTTGACTTGTCAAAGAATTGATCGACTACCATTGCATTCTTAATACCAGATGCTAACCTGAAACAAATGTAAGAAAAACGTGATCAAACAGCTGAAACTAATCAAAGGCCAAAGGAGTATGATTCAGTAGATTAAGTATCAATTGCAATGTTACCAACAGCAGCGAAAAACAATGAACTAATAATATGGGGAAAAAGGATTGCGGTAGGATCACAAAACCGTCTATCACTGTCCATGCCGACACGGTATATAAAAATTATGAAAATATCATGATAGCCGGCTTTACGATAGTAAATTGGCAATTCCCAGTCATACCGGCCTGTTTTAGAGGTACTTCACTGATATAATTCTAGTCGAATGCATGATTTTAGTTTAACAACGGTTCGGTATGCTACAAATTGAACCATGGTTGTACCACTAAGATACCAATACCATTAACTTGTCCGATATGACTTTTGTACGGTTTTACAAACCATGGGGGAAACTAATAGACACAATTCATTGCACAGAATGCTGTGGAGACAAAAGTACCTTTCAAGTTCACCTTCACCAAAGACATGATAGTAGCGATTGTAGACCACAGCACCCTTATTGTCATCTTTCCTTGCCAAGCCACTAGCAATAGCTGAAGCAGAAGCACCACTCACTTCAGCTCGATGATATGGTAAATGCCACGGCACAAAATACTCATGTTGACTCTTCTGATCATCAGCAGCATTTCCACCAGTCTCCTCTCCAGAAATTTGGCTCCCATCTTGCATATGCTCCTTGGAATTCATCCCCTCCATAGATTCTGGGATGCTTTGCAAAGTAAAAGATGAAGGGCTTCTGACACGAGGGCTACCAGGTCCTATCCACTCTTCCACATACTTATCATTAAGGGGAGTCCACTTTGTAAGCAATGACCTATCTTCTTGCTCTGCAGCCCAAACAGTGATCAAAACAAACCCACCCGTCTTAACAACTCTCACCAACTCTTCGATTGCCTTTCTCCTCCTGATCTCTGTACTCAAGTGGTGCAACACAGCAATGGATATAGCTGCATCACCAAACCCAGTTCTATAAGGCAGATTCACAGCATCTGCAACCACGACCTCATTGTCCCTATCCGCACAAATCTTGACAAGCGGCTCACTGATATCACATCCAATGAAAAAGCAATCGGGATTCAAGCCCAGGTACTTGCCATTCCCACATCCTGCATCCAGTACTAGAGATCCTAGGGGCAAGGAGTTCAGGAAGGATGCAACTTTGGGCCATTTGGCAAACCGGGTCGAACTAAAATGGGGCGCAATAGCATCATAAACTCGATGCACATACTTCTTTTCTATTTCAGGTGTCGACCCTATACCCACTGGCGACAAAGATGTCTGCTCTCCCTCCATGGCCATAGAGTTCTCGACATTAGCTTTTGTATAAGCACGTAAACCCAAATAACTTACTAGCTCGTTATCTTTCATGGGCTTGAAGAGATCAACACTATGCAGTATGCAAATTCCTCGAATTGGTAAACCGAATTCTCCAAAGGGTGCTCTATCCAATAACTTAACTGCCCTTCCCACGCTGACAAGCATCAACTTCAAGGTCCCAACTAGAAGGCCATTAATGGATTCGACCAACGCAAGGCAGTAGGCCTGGAAATATAAGCAGTCGTCAAAAAAAGAAAAAAAAACAATAACAAGCCAATTTGAGTTCAGACTCAAGCGCAAGAAACTAAGCTACCACTGAAACCAATTCAAAAGCACAGAGAGAAATATCACCGGGGACTTGCCTTAAAGCTTACTCCTTGATACGAGATCGGAGCGAAGAGTTCAGATTCAGCGGACTACCAGTAAACCAAACTTTTCCCAATCACTCAGTTCACAAGCGGCGATCTCTGATGCTATGGCTGAATCACTTTCTATGTTTTCTGCTTTCTTTGTCAACGAATCCGACAAACATTCAATCTGATTACGAACTGTGATTCGGGATTTGTAGAACGTGTGCGGCCGGGTAATGAAGAAGGCGGTTTCTTTTGCGGCGATGGGAGGGAAAGGAATGAGATGAGGACGACTTGGAGAAGATGGGGTGGCCGATTGCCGAACTCGGGGAAGGGATGGACCAAGTCAATGGGTGATTGGGTAGTAAACATCTTGGTTATTAACAACCGATCGGACCGGACCGGACCGGACCAAAGTGTTGAACCTGGTGTGGACTGTAATTCTGGCCCATTCGGCGGCGCCAGTTTTTTTTTTTTTTTTTTGGTATTTTTTGGCATAGTTATCTCCAAAGGGCATAGAAACGTCAATATACAAGGTCTTTACATGTCATACTACAAAGTCGAAATTCGCAAAATACTATGGTCGATAAGTGTTTGAATCATCGTTTTAAGGGCTTATTTTGTCACGATATGGGCAACCATGTGTGACGAAGCTCTTGCGTTCATCTGAAAAATCACCTGCTCATCACCACAAAATAAGACTTTAGTAAAGGAGGGAACCAGACACCAACAGAGAGAATCACGAAGATCAAGTAGCTCAATGAGTAATGGATCATATATATATATATATAAGGATAAAAATGGCACAACGTGCAAAGAAGAGCTTTTTCATAACTATAGCTGACGAAACCAACACTCCCTCGCACAATGGATTTGGTTGCTCCATCAAAACGAATTAGAATGGAATAACTAGGAATGAGAGGAGGAGATGATTCACGAGGCAGGGAAGGGACAAAAGCCGTGGAACGGAATCATGAAGCTCGAGGAGCATGGTACTGAGCAAACTCTCATGTCGCCACCTGCGTATCAAACTGATGCAGTAAAGCATGAGGCAGATACTGAAGATCGTCATAGGTAGCTGTGCAGCGAGTTTCCAAATTCGCTAGTAAAGAAAACTGATGGACCCCAAATTAAAAAATTTAGTTTGACGAAAGTGTTCCTAGATAGTCCTTACTCCACAACCCTCGCCAATTACTCTAGGTCACCTTGGAGTCACTCCAGCCATCGTGACATCATCACCTAGGGTCAACTCGGCCACCCTGAGGTCAATCATCTCATCACCTCGGCCACCCCTAGGTCAATCAACTCGGCTCACCTCGGCCACTCCGGGGTCACTCCGGCCACCCCGAGTCACCTTGGGGCATTCCGGCCATCCCGAGGTCAGTCATCTCGGTTACCCCAGGGTCACTCCAGCCACCCCAGGGTCAATCACCCCGGGTCACCTTGGGGTCATTCCGGCCATCCCAGGGTCAATCACCTCGGGTCAAATCGGCCACCCCATGGTTAATCACCCTAGGTCAACTTGGGGTTACTCCGACCACCCCGGGGAAATCACCCCAGGTCACCTTGGGTCATTCTTGTCACCCCGTGGTTAATCACCTTAGGTCTCCTCGACCACCTTAGGGTCACTCCGGCAAACCCCGAGGTCACTTCCCTGGATCATCTGGGCTACCATGGGGTCACTACGACTACCCTTGTGGTCAATCACCCTAGGTCACCTCGAGCACCTTAGACTCACTCTAGCCACCCCTAAGGTCAGTCTCCCCAGGTCACTCAACACTCATGGGCCATGGCCACGTACCCTCTTGACGTGTCCTCTCCTTTCACTACCAAGCTCTGGAGGGAGACCGTACTCACTTCAAGTTTCCCCAGAGGCCTTTATAAAAGGCCACTTCGTTTTCAGATTGAGGTAAGAAAAGATCCCCATGTCTAGACTTGGGAACTCTCGTTATGATTAGCGCTGATATTCATTCTCAACCTCATTCCCTAATGTTTCTTTTCGAGGTCATATTCCTCTCCTCTCACACCACTCACTAACTTGAGCGTTGGAGAGTGTCCTCACCGAGATCGGCCGACGAACCCTTTTTGCATGAGACGACCGGAGCTGACATCATGACTCACGAGACAAGTTCGAGGTGAAAGGTGGTCGTCAACCGACTCCAATGTCCAACATAAAAAAAAACTCGACGTCGGCCACAACCCTGACATCAACAATTGGCGCCCACTGTGTGGCCCGAAGCAAAAGGTTGAATAAGCCTAATGTCAACACTTCACTCATGATGGAGTCTCAAAGCTCCAACATTTCCTAAATTGGCAGCGGAGTTTGGGATCCAACCCCTCTATCATTCATCGAAGAACTTCAAGCCCAAATTGAGTAGCTAAGAGGTGAAATCCAAACATTGACATCAACACCTCCTCCACTGTTGACACCTAAAATTAATTTGGCCGGGATTAAATGCCGCATTAATTAGTCTCGACATTTAATTTGATACCGCGGGTTAAAAAACGGTATCGTTTGGAGTTAAAACGGTACCGCAAGGGAGCTCACCGGTACCGCGACACTGGAAACGGCACCGCTTGCCGAAAATAAAAACAAGGGCCGCGCGTTTAATGGGGTTGGAGGAGGAGTTTTGATTATTTAATTTTTATTTCTTGTGAGAAGCGGCACCGCGGAGAGTTAAAACGGTATCGCAATGAAGCTTAGCGGTGCCGCGGCATTGGAAACGGTACCGAAAAACAAAAGGGGGCCACGCTTGTGGTTTCTTGTTGGAAAAGGAGTTTTTTTTTCTTCTCAAATTAATTATTATCTTTATTCCTTGTCGGAAGGGGAAAATCGGTACCGCATGGAGACAAGCGGTATCGCGGAGAGTTAAAACGGTACCGCGGATTTAAAAACGGTGCCGCGAGAGCCTGATAGGCGGTACCGATTAATTAAAAATCATATCGGGCAAGTGACCAAAATTCACCCGGCCCAATGCGAGCGCCCATTGCGCCGCGTTCCATGGATTAGTATTTTTTGGCTATATCGGCGGTGTCGTTTAATTCAAAACGGTACCGCGAGTAAGCCCAACGGTACCGCGGATTAGCAAACGACAGTGTTTAAATAAGAAACAATGTCGTAAAAGGGAAAAACAAACGGAGTTGTTGTGGCGCAGGTGATGTCGTTGGCCATAACTAGTGATGACCGGATTAGTTAACTAATATTGTTAATGATTATTTAGGACGGTGTCGTTTAGTTGAAAACGATGCCGCAAGAGGAAAGAAACGACGCCGTGGAATTAAAAACGGTACCGCGAGGAAGCCCAACGGTACCGCTATACTAGCAAACGACAGTGTTTAATAATAAACAGTGTCGCGGAAGAAAAAAAACAAACGGAGCTGGTTGGGAAAGAAAACGACACCGCAAGGCTGGAAGCGGAGTCGTTTAATATTAAAACGATGTCGCGGGTAGAATCAAGCGGAGCTGTTTGGGAAAGGAAACGACATCGCGGGATCATGAAAACAACTCACGTAAAGTTCACGCGAAGCAGTTTGAGGAGCGAAGCGGTTGAGACACGTGGGATTTCACAACGGAGCAGTTGAGGAAGCGGTTCCACCGAGCGTGAAGACTACGAAGCAGTTTTTCGAATAAAAGCAGTGGAGCAAGGAGAGAGAAAGGGACAACCAAATCAACACAGAACAACTCTGTTCAAACTTTACCTTTTCTCTGTAACTCCTTCGCGGAGCTCTCCTTCCAGGAAGGATCTCCATAGTCATAGTCGTAGCGTAGTCGCGGAGCTCTCCACAAGAATCTCCATAGGAGTAGTCGTAACGTAGATTCCTCAAAAAACTCAAACACCCTCGTTCGAACGTAGTTTGGAGAGGTGTGAACCGTAGTCACAGTCGTCTTGATTAGAAGTCAGTGGCGCATTAATTCGATCAAATCAACATCGTCGTTTGGCACGCCGGCGGTGGTATTTGGTCAGAAAATAGTGGTGCATCCGTTCAATCGGCACCGCAAGAGTTTCCACCGCGAAACATCAAATCAACATCGCCGGGAACGAATTCGGCACCGGCGGTGGTATTTGGTTTTTCCGAGGAAACATCCACCCAATATGTTTCATTGCAGTTCTAGTCACCAACCGGATACCCCCTGGAGGATCAGCTCAACCGAATGAGACGTCAACCCCTCGTCCACCTCTACGGCTGGAAGACTTCTCATACCTTGATCAGCCTCACCTTATGCCCAGTTTCTCACTGACTCTGGACATGGAAAGTCATTGGCTCGTCCGTTCATTGATCAACCCAACCCCCAAGACTTCCAAATGCCTCATCTGATCAGAAGGGAATATACATACCTTTGTCCTCCTAAAGTTCATACCTACTTCCACATTAATATTGTAAATAAAACCAATCGAAAACTCAAAACTAAATGCAGTGGCCAAGCATTCATGTATAACATTTTAATGCACTTGATTCACTTATTATACATGTTTTCATTTTAATGCACGCATATTACACTTGCAATAATAAATTTGGTAAATAAGACAATAATAAATTTGGTTATATATAACCTTCACAAAAAAAAAAAAACATAATAATAATTCAATATTACTTTTTTTTTATGGTCCTGAATTAACTAGGAGGAGGAGGAGATGACGCCGGTATTGCCAGCCAAGACCATGTATTTGTCTTTTCTGGTGAAGCTGGTGCATTGAAAGCCAAGCTCATCGCCAATCACTTTCTGGACAGAGTTTGCTACTTCAATCCCGCCAGTTGCACTAATTATTCTCCGGCCCGACGAAGTTGTGGTACCACCACCACCGGCAGCAGCAGCAGCAGCAGATGGCGTCGGCACAGCCACCAGAAAGTTGGCGGAGTAAAGAGGGCATGGGTTGAGCAAGTGAAAGGCCGGGTCCAGCAATTTAAGCCCACTCGCCGTGGACCCGTAGAACATACTGACCCCGACGTTCACCGCCACCGGCACGATCTTCCCCGCGCTCCCGCCGGCCACCTCCGCGAAAAGCGGACTGAACCGCAACAGATAAGGCTCCCTGCACGATGCGAGTTCAAATGGTTATCACGATAATTACCCATGAATCGGAATTCTGTTAACCATAGAATACAGTATGTTAATTAAATTTATCAAACTAATATCAAACGGTTTTGATTAATTAGTTAACCAGCCAGGTTAACCAATATAACATAACATTAAAAATACCTATCTAACAAAAAATATATGACAATGGTATGAAGTTAATAAACTGGTTGCATCTGTGTAAATTGTCTTAGTCTCCTAGTAATTATCATATATGTTGGAAAAAAATCTTTCAGTTTCATGTTTTTTTTCTTCTTCCGTTGAATCAGTTACTCTTTTATTTGCTTCAAAAAGAGACCACTTACAAAACACAAATGGCCAACCAATACAACGAAAGGAAAGCTCGGAACGAGCAGCCTGGAAAAGAAAAATCCTCTACCCCAAACATTTCCACCACAAAAACAACCCTTAACACAACTGCTCATATATATTGTTGTTTACGCTCTAAACAAAAATGTAGAATAGGAAAAATAATGAACGTTTGATTCTTGACTGGTTATGTAAAGTATTAATTATGTGTATATAGTGTATATTAGACATACGACTAATTACTTAACGGATTAACTGGTTCGATTGGTTAGGAGTGTATGAAAGCAAATCAAACCACCTAAAACCCTAACCAAACAAACTATAAAAAAATCCAACCAAATTAAATCCAATTATCCGAATACAATCGATTAAAACTGATTACCACGATAACCACTCCGTTTGAACACCCCCTACCTGCACGTCGTCCCTTCGGGGCAAACCACCACGTCGCCGTGCCGCAGTATCTCCTCCATGATCCTCCCGTCCCTCTCCCTGTCGCGCGTGAGCGGCACGTTCCTCACCGGCGAGATCACCTCGTTGAACTTGCTCACGCTGTAAGTCACCGCCGTCGCGGTGGTGTTGAGCAGCGCCAGCGCGATGACGATCGGGTCGAGGAGCGTGCGGTGGTTGCACACGTACATTGTGCCTCCGCCGGAGCGGCCGGGCGGCGGTGGCGGTGGGGTTCCGGTGAAGACGAACCGCATGCCGGTGAGGGAGAGACACGGGATGACTAGAGGGAAGGGGAGGAGGCGGCCGATGAGGAAGCGGATGACGACGAGGAGGAAGCCGAATGGGACCCACATGAAGAGCGCCAGGGTCGCCGGGAAAGTTGGCCGGAATGCTAGCCTGCCGTCGTGGAAGATGAGTGGCTTTGGGTACTTGTTCCTCGGGAGGGCGCTCCATTGCTTCTTTTCGGATCTCCTCACGACGTGAACTTTCTTCACGTCCATCGTGGAAACATTGAAATATGTTGTCAGCAACCACAGTCCTAACTCCTAAGCACCAACTAAATTCGTATGGTACGAATTTAGGTTGTATTATAAACATTTTTCTGTTGAGAAATCAGAATACGGTGAAAGTTGTTGTATGTTATTATTGAAATCATATAGGGTTTATGTAGAGTATAGAGACTGACTTTTATGATAATTCGAATTGTTGAGAGAGATGGATGAAAATACGTTTATATTGTTTAAACTAACTGGTCTTAACTCTTAATAACTCGAATTCTTAAGAGAGATCCATACATATATATATAGTACTTAACCACCTTTTCCTTATAGGAATGACGATGTGATAGGTTAGTGTGAATATCTCGATATCCATACCCGCCTTGTGTGACAGGTCGAATAATTGATCGGACAAATCGACTCATATGGTAATGTAATTGAAACGTAAACCATTGAAAATATTCACTTTTCATTGAAATTTTTAAAAAAATCAACTATATCACGATGAATTAGTTAAATTATTCGAGAAATTGTAGTTTTCACATATTCACAACTTTACTGTAAGCTAAGATATTAGTTAATAAAAGTAAAATTCTAATTAATTTGAGTAAAATTACATGTGGTTTAGACATGAACCGGTAAAAAAAATGAGACAGTTGTCAGAACAGATCAGGTCAATGAGACTATACCCAGCCAGCATATCCGCCCTGTCCCACATCTATACTCAACAGGTAAAACGAGTCAGGTCAAAATTTTGCATCATATTTCCTTATGAAGATTTTTTTTTTTTAACAAAACAATTAAAATATCAATGAACATAACAATTAGTGTTTGGTGAATGTCCAAACCTCACAATTCCTGAAGATGTGGTGATCCCCAACACCCCCAACATCATCATCCCTACAGCCAACAACCCCAACGAGTCGATGATGGGCTCCCACTCCCACACTTTTCTCCTTTACATAAATCTCACCGCCGCCGCCGCCGCCGCCGTCACCAATATTACTCGCCACCTCATCAACGGCCCTCAACACACGCTCTTCCCTCCTATCTTCCTCCATCAACCCAACAAAATAACCATTCACCTCCTTCACCTCCCTACCAACCACCGTCGCAACGCCCAAATAGTCTCTCGCAAACCCTTCCACCATGACACGTGGCAAATCACTCACGGCCATCAACTTCTCCCCTTGGCGGCGGCTCATCACGTTCTCGAGCCCTTCCAATCCGACGTCGTCGAGGAACCACTTGGGCAGCACGGACCGGCCCAATAACCTGACCCGGTCCGTCTTCAGCCCAGCGAAGCAGAGGAACGTCATGAGCTTTATCCCCGTGGATCGGCCCACGACGAAGCGGAGGAGCGGGTAGAAGAGGCCCAGGAGGAAGGCCCGGAGGATCCCGCCGGTTTCCAGCGCCACGAGGGTGAAGTACGGGAAGAGGGACGGCGACCGGAGGAGGGTTTCCTCGAGCTGGAAAATCAACGTCGTGGTGGTGGTGGGAGTGATCAGTTGCTCTGCTGCCATCTCTCTCTCTCTGTGTTTTTTTTTTTTGGCGTACGTTTCTTGAGGAAGGAACAAGGTGGTGAGATTTATATATATATAGATGTGAAAAAGAAGGGGGGACATTGGGTTTGGGTAGGTAGCATTATGAGAAGAATAATGTACATATTTTATATTTTGGATTTAGGTAATAATATTACTATACTTTTTTTTGGGTGGACTCTATGCTTTTCAAATTTTAGGGGAATTTTTTTTAATTTATATTCTGAATTTATGATAAAAGAAAAAAGAAATATATAGCATTTATCTATGGGTATTATTACTATCCTGAACGGCAGAAGCAAAATGATTTGAGGAGGGTAGAAATTGGAAGTCCTATAATCTGACACTACTCGTGCAATATTCATGCTGAAAAAAACCATAGAAAAAAAACCCTGTTGTTGGGAGGAAGAGGGATCAGTCAATAAGATGGAAGATCTAACATGCTTCGAATTTTCTATTATCCAAACCTATTAAAATGCTATTAATTAGTCAAAAAAATTTCGTTAATGATTTTGTAACTCATTTATTAGTTAAAATATTAAATTTTTTGGAATGTTAAACCTTCGTGTGTCTCTTTCAAGTCGGTATCATGTTGCCAAATCAATATTACTAACAAAAATTGCTAACTGAAAAATTAACATTTGGCTTAGATAATATAAAAGAATCTGGAAAAAAAAAATTTAGATAAAAAATAGACATTACCCTAACCTAACTTTAATATGTATTAAGATTTTCAACTTCAAACACAAGTACAAATATCCGGAAAACAGCCAAACCCCATAGCCATAGTCTAACGATAATAATGAAAGATAAACCCCCGCAAGTAAAAAAAAAAAAAAAGTACTAATAAATAATGCATCAGTTGGAGGCACCGCCCAGTGAGTTCAGGGCCACTATTAGTAGGCCAGCAACGGCAAGCACTAAATGGAGAAAGGAAGTTCAATAATGGAACAATAACTCAGAGTAAGAGGGAGTTGGTATTTGTTTTAAAAACAGGTCGTTGAAACAGAAGATCATCCTGAGACTTACAACCAAACGAGCTACTGAAAACCGAGAACAAACCAATACTACTTCCAGTGCCAGCAGAAACCAACTCGTACGCGCCCAAAACTCAGCCTCTTATATTCATTTTGTAGGTGTGTCTGTGAGGAGAATGAATTCTTTTGTTTTTATTTATTTTTATCATTGACGGTAGAAGAATACATTAATTCGTTCACAAATTCATATACTAAATATGAGCTTATTCGTGCCATATTGGCATGATTCACGTAAGAGTGTTGATTATTCACGCAATCAGTATCGTTTAGTGACACAAGCTGATGTTGATTCACGCATTGTTGTTATTTATTTATACCGTTGTAAAAACAAATTTTTTTAAATTTTAAAATATATCAAAGTGGATGTCATTGTGTAGATTATGATCAATGATGCAACACATTTTTACAGATTAATTGAGAATCCAAATTTAATTCCATAAAATATAGCCAATAAAAATTATTATGGGAAAAAAAGTCTAAACTTTCATTTACGTGAATAAATTACACTCTCATGTGAATAAGAATAATATTACGTGAATAAGCACTAAATGGCGTGAATGAGCACAAAAATGCGTGAATAAATCGGCTTTAGGTGTTTTCTCTCCTTTAGAGAGAAGGGAACTTTTCCTCGTAAGAAAGCTTTGGCTTCAGGCGTGGAGGAATGGTCATGGTGTAAGGCTGGATTTTCGCTTGAGGAATTTTACAATCCTATATAGTATTGGTGCTATAGATTTTTGCATTTATGATACAACTTGAAGTTGTACTTTTAACGTTATGGTACAACTTCAGATTGTATTTATACTCTTTTGTACAAATTCCTTTATGGTGCAACCTGAACTTATACATTTAACGTTATAGTACAACTTCAAGTTGTACATTAAAGCACCAATGTTTTATAGCATAATAGAAGTACTCTTTTGGCTTCTCTCCGTTGTTGTTTGTGCGGTGCGTTTACATATTGAATTAAAATAAATTGAGCTTTAGTATTGCACTCTAATATATTTTTTCGTTGAATATACTTTAATATTTCATGATTAATTTCTAAACTTTATACCCAAAATCTAAAAATAATGCATTTACCATATTGGATATATTTAGGAAAATCAAAAGCGTCGATTATTGTTTCTAATTAAATTAATATTATAAAATATAATTTAGAAAATTAGGACTTATTACACGTTTAGGTTAGTATCATGTCCTAACATTGATTAGTTTAATATTTTCTTACCAAGAGTATACAACTTTTAGGTGTGCCGCATTTAGTTTGCAGCCCAGTAGACTTTTAGATGTGTCTAAGCATTGGAAGCAAACATACTTATTTTAAGTGAAAATAAAAGTTTTACAACACTTCTTAGGTTCAAATAATTAATAACTAAGCTAACCCTTAACAACATCAAAATATGTCAGAATTTCTTAGATTCACAAATTTATCAAAAGTGGTGAATCAAAATATGTCAGTCAAAGAGAAGTTGAATCTTATTGAATAGGAGAAGAAGAATGATCTGAAAAGTGGTGATTAGGAGTCAAGACTCGTAGCTTGTGGTTGTTGGGGTTGACAGTTAGTGACGACAAAGAGTTGTAGGGTAGAAGGTTGCAAATAAATAATAACTTAGATAATCCATAAGAGTTAACATAGTCACAGTTTCTTAGAAGCACAAGTTTATGGAAAGTGGTGAATCAAAATATGTTAGTAAAAGAGAAGTTGAATCTTGTTGAATAGGAGAAGAAGAATGATTTGGAAAGTGGTGATCAGGAGTCAAGGGCGCATTGTGATGAGGAGAAGCAGCTTTCTAACTTAAAGTCGTGATTTTTTATTCCAAATTGAGGGAAGGGTCGAAGGGCGCATTGTTCTTAATATTCTATTTCTTTTTATTTACGAGTTGCGGTCTAGCCACCTTCAAGTTATTTTGTGTGACATCTCTTGGAAGAAGGAAGTGCCTTCGAAAGCCTGCTCTTGACTAGTTTCCTTTTCGCTCAGCCAAGAAGGCAGACACGGGAGACTAGTTTGAGATGGTGCCGTTATGAGTACGCAGTCAAATTGCGCTTTAAGACTTTAAAACCTTACGCTTTTAGTAGGTTGTCAACCCGCGGGTTGACCCACGGGTCGACCCAATTTAACCCTGACCCGGTGAGAAAAACGGGCCGCACGCACCCGCCGGGTCGACCGCTATTAGGTACCGGGTTGAAAGTCAAATTGTGTCATTTTTTTCTTTAGTTTGCCAAATGCGCCTATTTTCCAATTTTTCTTTTCGCCTAACTCAATCTTTGGAATACTAAGTTGAACATTTGAATATTTATGTTATATAAGTGTGTGTGAATTTTCACTATATGTTGGATCTAAGTACAATATGTTATTTTGGTGTAATATTATATGTTATAACTCATATGTTAGATAAGATTTGATATAATTTATGAGGATAAGTGTAATATAATGACTCTTTCTATATTTCCGGGCCAAACCGGACTAAAACGGTTGACCCATTAACCCTTGACCCACTAGCTCGACCGGGTCCGGGTCAACCCGCGGGTTGACGACCTTGCCTTTTACACTTCTAGGTCACCAAAACGCTTATGTGTCGAATCGCGCTTTTCACTTATAAGTGTAGTCAAAATCTAAAATTTAAAGTTTAAAAGCTTATATTTTTGCGCTTTTAGATCACCAAAACGATTACGTAAAATCGCGAATTTGACTACACCTTATCTTATGACAAAGACAACTGCCTTTTTTCTTTTGTTGCTCCACTAGTTGTGCTTAAGCGCGCCTCTAATTGTCTAATAGTGCTTCAAAATGCTTAATCTCGGCATCGCCTAAATCCACTTCAGCGTTATTAAGACTTTATTAGTTGCTTGCCTAACGCCTAGACATATACGAAATTATACCTTTTTAAATCATGGTAAGAGACTTGGAGCCTGGAGGAGAGGGGTTTGATTTCTTCGAAAAGGAAAAGAATCTTTAACTTCTCTTCTAACGAAGGGGTTTTTCTTCCATTTTTCAAGAAAGATGAGTTTTGCCCCGTTTAGCCATAAAAAAATGGAATTGGATTTGGGTAAATTAATAGATTTAGGAATTAATTTCAGTTTTAAAATTAGAAATAGTGATAAGTAAAATTTCTTGGTAGTTTTGCACGAATAGTGGGTTTTTAGTTTCACAAAATATCGCAACTAAGAATTCCAAAGATTATTAAAGGGTTTTCGGTTTAATTCGTGCAAACATCAAAATAATTTCCTCCTTATATTGTGTGTCCCCATTGTTTCATCAAAATTTGTCCAACTAATCAATACTGGGAGAAGTTCAAGGAATTCAATAATAAAGTAGTTATGTAAAATTACTATGAAGAATTTATAATATAAAATAAAAATAAAAATTCTAAACAATAAAAAGTAGTCAAAATGGATCTTGGTAGATTTTTTATATTAAATAATATGATTTTATACTTTAGGGTTAATATCTTAGTTTGACCCGAACTATCGGCAAACTTTCTACTTTGGCCCGTGGACCGTGGTATCGGAAATTTCTATTCTGGCCTAAACTATGTAGCATACTTTCTTATTTGGCCCGGAGGCGGGTTTGACCGTCAAATTAGACAGTCAATTGAGTTGACCGTTAGTCAAAGTCCACCTCACTTGCCACGTCAGCTACAAGGAATAAATTTTTTTAAATTTTTTTTTTGAGTTTTGTTTACTTTCTAAAATTAATTAAAATAATTTGGGGAGCTTTTTTAATTATTTTTTTTTCGTTTATTATTTTTATTATTAGAAAGTAAAAAAAATTCAAATAAGAAAGTTTGTCTATAGTTCGGGCCAAACTAAGGTATTAACCCTATAATTTATTTTATTTTTAAAATTATATAAATGAAAGAAAATTTAATTTCTGAAATAAAATTGAAATATGGGATAATCTTGTATTTTCAAAACAGCTTTCACAGAAACTCCTCCGGAGCTTCTGCTTTTATGTTATACAACAACACTTTTCGGCTTTTTAAAATCTGAACTTTTAGAGGTGTTTGACCCTGTTTTAGCTTTTGAAGTAAAAAAACACTTCTAAACTTCGGGCAAAAATATGATTAGAAATGCATTAATTGTAACGTCCGAAACCTTTTCCCGAAAATATTTTCCACTTTGGGTCCAAATCCTCATGGTTTTTAGTTTGAGTGCATATCAAGGTGACTTCCCATAATGTCACCCATCCTTGCAGTGTTCTACGCTGAGCAAGTTTAACTTCAGATTCTTACAAGAACTCTTTCATTTCACCCCGAAACGCGTCTTGTCAATTAAGGTCAGTTTCTTACTGACGAACCATGGATCTCTCCTGTACGTTGTCGATGTGGGATTCGCCTAAGGTGTTACATTAATGGTCGAGCTCGTTGTTGATCGTATCAGAAAAAATAACGATAAAATTGTTATTTAATTGTGGTTCAATTGTCACATATCACCACAAATCGTTTAATTGTTTAAACTTTGATAACAAAAATTGTAAAATCATAATCGTAGGTATAGTACGATTTTACAAAAACGGTGATGAACCAAACAAATCTTTCCATATTTTTGCTGAGTATGAAGTTGAAACAATTCGTTCCCCGTGTCCACAGAAAAATATCGAAACAGTTTAGGAGATACCACAAATTAAGTTATGACATGAATCGCATCCCCGATTGCCTTATGGGATTGCGGACGAAAGACCAATTTGAAAAAAAACGACCCATCCTAATCTCAAACTCACCCCAACCAAGTTTAAACTAATTTCTTAGAAATTGTACCAGCCGGTCGAACGGAAGTACTAAATAGCAGACCCCAAACAGTAAACAACGTTAAGGATACGAAACGGTTGAACCACGATTTTAGTCAGAGCAATTAAGGTCACTGGAATCCAGAAGTAGTTTGCAAAGGAAACTTGGTTCCAACTTCCAAGCAATGTGCAAGATTTAACGATGCAGAACGCCTTTTACAAACTTCAACGTAGAGTTTTAGACAAATTCTAAACAATGGAGAAGACAAGATCTTTTCCTAAAAACACCAAAACACTTGCCAAATTATCCACCTCAACAACAAAAGCAATACAAACACTTCCATGCTGAAAACGCATGCCCAGATCTACAAGTGCAAAGCCAGATTCTATACAAGAAGATAGTATAGTTGAGAACAGGGCCAACGACGTATCCCTCCAGAGTTTACCGTAGATGCAGGCAAGACTAATAATCAGGTATGGCGGCGAATCGATAGCCCTTAGCACCCCTCCACGAGTAATATGCTATCCGAGTTTCATAAAAACCTACAACCACAAGCAAAAGGTCATATACCAAGGGGTTCTAAGAGACTAAGCAAGCGTCGAATAGAGTCCAAAAGCAAAAGCTTCGCCAAACGGTACAGATATACTTTCAAGCACCAAATGTTGGGAGAGCTTTTACTGGAACGTCAAAACAGTACTTGTTGTGAAACTACACCTACCAAAGGAAATCAGCTAGTCTACGCAGCGTAGGACAATAGAACAACAAACAAAGGCGAAGTTGTGCTCTAGAGCATTCAATTAAAGAAGCCTACTAGTTGACGCGTTAAATTCTTCATAACTGTAGCTATTAATACCAAGAGATAAGATGAAGCATCTACATAGCCTGGACTACACCCGTGGTCCATACAAAGGGGGAATGTGTGGCTGGAGTTGGGGAATAAAAGCTTAAATAACTTCGGGGAACAAGTTGCATTAGCAATCAACGGAAATAATGAAGAATAAGAAAATGCATAAAATAGATATGCAGCTACCAGGGTGGATTGTCATCAAAATTTGAACAAAATTTCCATTACAAAGGTGCATAAGTATAATCAACAAAGATGTGTTAAGCCAACATAAGATGATTGTGTCCCACTTTAAAGAGCAAGGACAACCTAAATAATCCATATTTGTGATGCATCTTCAACATAGGCAGATGTTCAGTTCTATTAACTCCTATTTGTGTTGGTATATAATAGGATAGTCAAGCACAAAGCTGCATAAACTAGTGCAGGCTCACACCATTCAACTTAAACTGAAGATAATGAAAATTAAAGTGGAAAACGTTTTAGGGAAAAGAATGAAAAGAAGCCACCTGAAATTAATCTGTTTGCAGCAATTCATTGAAATTGGTTATACTACTTCCTTGAAAACAGTAAATAGTTAGCAACCTTGGTATTTTAGGATGACACGATGAGCATATTCTCAGTTGCCAGTAAAGATTGTTGATCATACCTGGTAAGAAGGTAAGGATTCCCAGGGCTAAGAGACCATACGCTTGTGACTTCTCGCCTCCCATGTGGCCAATGAAAACGAAGAAAGAAAGAAAAAGAAGAAGTGATCCGAGAAAGAGCAAGAAAATTGCAAGCACAACAGATTTCCATGGAATTCGATCAAAAGCCCCTGGAGAGTAATCAAACCGACGGTCATGTCTCATGCCATTGTACTCGTCATCTTCATCGATAGCAAGAGGACTATAATTAACATGCCGTCTAGTTGCCATTCCAACTACAGAGGCTACTCGACTAAGATCTCCCAAGTCTGCCTACAGAGGGACCTGATAGACAGAAATCAAAACCATCATTCCAGAATGAGACATCCTATAAGAACTCAAGACACTTCTCCAGTCAGTATATGCAAAAGGTACTTGGGACAATCAGAGGATTCACAGCTCAAGATCACATCAATTATCCTGTCCACCAGCTGAAGTGTGGACAGGCTACCTAAGAAGCACCTATTCAAGGTCAATATACAAGAGAAAGAAAGCCCTTTACTTTACATATTCTGTTCAACGCAGTATGCAATCTACTCTGCGCAGCTATAGAAAAGAGCAGTTTGAACAACAGATATGGAAAGTCATTCCCATATGCTAAGATTAAATCAAAGAACAGCCAAGCATTTCTCCAGCTAAACCCGAAAGTTGCTGGCTTACTGCAATCCCTTGTTAGACTCGTTCGGACTAAAAGCGGAGCCATACCTGAAAATGATTATCCAGCAACACGACTGCAGAGCTCAGCGCACAGACGGTTGGGGGGGACGGACGGCGATGACTGGGGCTCTCCCTCTCGCTCTATCTGAAACTCCGATTCTGGTTCACTTCTCTCTCGGGCGAAGTTCAATCTCCCTTTAGATTCAATTGCGAGACGAGCGATGCCAACGGGAATTGATCAAAGTGGCTGTGGCGGCCCCCCTCTTGTTTCCGATCCCTGTCCTCCTCAGTCGGCGGTGATGAACGATGACAGGCGGCCACGAAGAAGTTGAGATGGCGGCGGCGGAAGCAGTGGACGACGGCGAACAATGGACAAGATCGATACAATTGGGTTACCTCCTCCGCCAAAAGGTGCCGTCCTCTTTTGTCTCAGTCGCGACCCGCGTGGAATCTGTCAACCTTCCATTTAGTTTAGTTTTGGCCTTCCCTTTTCCTTCCAGCTTTGGTCCCCAAAGTCTACGATTTCTCTTTTTGGTTCCCAGATTCTATAAGTTCTCATTCTCAGCCCTGGATTTTCAAGAAAACATTCAAACAAGTCCTCAGAAATCAGAATACATATTTGAGATATGATTATAGCCTAGGCTGTAGTAGTTAATTAACGCATTACAGTTTTTTTTTTTTTTTGCCAAAAGATAATCAGTATATTGATCAGAAACAAAGGTAATTACATCCTGGAATTGAGCCAGATCAGAAAATTAAAGGAACGACTCGAGGTCGGGTACAATTGCAGAGCCTTTCTAGCCACCAAGTGGGCTGCCCTATTTCTACGCCGACCAACAAACCGCACAGAGAACCCTCCTACCAAATCAAGAACCCCTATAATCTCTTCCAGGACGCCCCAACTTTACTATCACTAGAGTTTGACTTGTTGACCTTGTCAATAAGCACCTTGGCGTCCCCTTCAAACCGCACCTCCACACATCCAGACTCCCGGCACCAGAGAATCGCCTCTCGAAGAGCAAGAGCTTCAGCAACCAACGGATCCCCAATGCCTGCAAACTGAAAGCCCCTAGCAACAAGAATGTCCCCAACGTGATTCATCACAACCATTCCTCCAGCCGAGTGGGATGATGACAACGTAGCCCCATCCCAAGAGCAGATTAAAGGGCAAAACGGGACCTCCTCTGCCTGAGAGACATGTCCACCCTGAGATTTATACCCCGGCAAACCAATCCACTCTTGATACTGCTGGTGATATTGTCGCAACAGAGCTGGTATCCCAAACTGCTTCCCTTCAAAAACAACCCTATTCTGGGACCGCCAAATTCGCCACAGGACAGCTACGACTGCCATGAATAAATGGTCCTGGCGGATGATATTCAACAATCTTTTCAGAAACAGTGGGAAGTTATGTCGAGGCAACCCCTGACCCACATCCTCCAGCCCAGCATAATCCCAGAGCGCACGCGCCACAGGGCATTCCAGGAAGAGGTGCTCCAACGTTTCAGAAGCCGCCCAGCAAACTGGGCACCGAGGGTGAACTGGAATCTTCCTCTCTCTCAGAGCTTCAGTAGTAGGAAGGAGTCTATTCAAAAGTTGCCATAGGAAAACCCTTAACTTCGGGGGAACAGGGGCCTCCCAGACACGAATCCAACTTGACCTGTCCATCCAGCTGACCGTAGAACGCCACCGACCCTCCTTCCTATCCATCTGGACAGCGAGGTGGTATGCAGACTTTACTGTGAAAACACCATCCTGCGTGCCATGCCAAACAAGTCGATCCTCAACATTACCTCGAGCGAGAGGAATCTCCTTAATGTACCGGCAAGTTTGAGGGTCAAACCATCGGGCCAACCCCGCGTCGCACCAGGATCCTTCCACACTATTGATAACGGCCGAAACCCGAACGTCCCCATCAGTAGGCAGGACACAAGGATTAAACGCAGGAACCAACGGATGTAACCTCGGGATCCAATTGCTCAGCAAGAGAGGGGCCGTTTGACCATTCCCAATTTGCCATCTAAGTCCCTGGCTCAACAATTGGCGGCCAAATAGGATACTCTGCCACCCCCAGGATGGCCGGGATCTCGCCTTAGCTTCTAGAAACCCGCTCCTCGGAAAATATTTCCCCTTATACACCTTGGCTAACAGCGACTCCGGCTCGCTTAAGATGCGCCAACCAATTTTAGCCAACAGCGCTTGATTGAAGTGCTCAAAACGCCTAAATCCCATTCCACCTTCATGCTTACTACAACACATATTCCGCCAAGACATCCACCGCACCTTATCATGCCCATTCTCTACCCCCCACAAAAAACGGGCCACATGCCTATCCAGGAGACGGCAAAGAGAGAGAGGGAGCTTGAAGCACGACATAACATGCAAGGGCAATGCCAAGGCCACTGCCTTGATTAAGGTTTCCCTAGCCGCCCAGGACAAGGTACGCTGTTTCCATCCCTGAAGTCGAGCTAGCAACTTCTCCTCCAAATAACGAAACATCTCCATCTTAGACCAAGCTATAAGAGATGGCAACCCCAAATATTTATCATGAACTCCAATCGCCCCCACACCCAACACCTGACCCAGGAATTCCTGATCAGCGCTGACAATGTTTTTGCTAAAGCAAACAGCCGATTTAGCTAGATTGACCCTCTGACCACTCAGCTCCTCATATTCGTTCAGAACCGTAATCAAATTCTCACACTCTTGGAGAGACCCACGCAGGAACAAGTAGGAGTCATCCGCAAAGAACAGGTGTGAGATTCGAGGGGCCCGGGGCGCCACTTTAATTCCTTGAAGCTTCTTCTCGGTAATGGCTTTCCTCAGGAGGGCAGCAAACCCCTCAGTGCATAATACGAACAGTAGAGGAGATAGAGGGTCGCCCTGGCGCAAACCGCGAGACGACGCAAAATAACCCTTCGGAGTACCGTTCATCATCACCGAAAACGAAGTCGATTTGAGACACTCATGGACCCAACCGCACCAAACCGAGCTAAAGCCCATCTTTTCCATCACCGCGAGAAGAAAGGGCCATTCGACTCTATCATAGGCCTTTTCCATGTCAACCTTTAGAGCCATGTATCCTTTCTTTCCTCGCGACTTGATTTTCAGATAGTGCATTAGCTCATGTCCGAGCAGGACATTATCTACGATTTGGCGTTCCCTAATGAATGCATTCTGCCCTTCCGTGACAATAGTCGGCAGGATAGTAGCCAACCTTTCAGCCATGATCTTGGTAATAATCTTGTAAACGAATTGGCATAGGCTTATTGGCCGAAGCTCCCGCATAGACTCCACATTGTCCACTTTCGGGATCAGAGTCAACCAGGTGTGATTAAAGCTGCGAAGCAACCTGCTCGTCGCAAAGAACGAGCACACCGCATCAATCACTGACGACCCAACGATGTCCCAGAAAGTCTTAAAGAATTTTCCAGTGAATCCATCCGATCCTGGAGCCTGCTTGGAACCCATTGCAAAAACCGTCGCCCTTACTTCCTGAGGCAAGACTTCTGCCGTAATCCGCGCATTCATGGCCTCCGTTACCCGACACTCTATTGGAAGTTGGGCCACCCGATCTGACATATTTCCCACCTGATTATCAGAAGTGAAAAGTTGCTGGTAAAAGTCAGTAGCAATATTCGCCTTCCCTTCCTCATCGGTAACCCATTCCCCCACATCATTACGAAGGCCAGCAACAAAGTTATGCTTTCGACGGGTCCGAGTCACCGTATGAAAGTAGGAGGAATTCCGATCCCCTTTCTTTAGCCAGTGAACCCTTGATTTCTGCTGCCAGTAGATCTCCTCCGCCTCCCACTGCCTACCCAACTCCGCTTCCATAACTCGCACAGAATCCCAATCAATGGGTGAGCTAGATTTAACCCGATCAATTTCCGCTTGCAAGGTGCGGATATTCCGGAGAGAATTAGTAGTGCCGGCTCTACTCCAATCATACAGCAAATGCCGCAACTTTTTAAGCTTCTCCCAGAGTTGAAACATCGGGGTGCCCGGGATATCCTCCTGCCAGACATACGACACCATAGCTCTCACCTCCGGATTATCCGCCCAACGAGCATCAAACCGAAACAGAGGTCTGGATCTTCGCGCATAAGGTTTGTCAGCCAATAACAGTGCACGATGGTCCGAACCCTGGTCCGTGAAGTGTTTCACAAGGGAGTCTGGGAAAGTCATCATCCAAGAGTGTGAGCAGAGAGCTCTGTCCAAGCGTTCCCGAATGCAAGCATTCCCCATTCGTCTATTAGACCAAGTGAACGGGTCTCCTTGAAACCCTAGGTCATGGAGACCTAAGTCATAAATAAAGTTCCGGAGACCAGTCGCCTGGTTGGCATTCCAAGTATTTCCCCCATCTTTTTCACTGGCCTGGAGTGTCACATTAAAATCCCCAATAATCACGTAGGGAACATCAAACGATTCACAAATAATCCGCATATGGGCCAATTGGACGTTACGACTAGATTCCACACAGCTAAAGTAAACGAAGACAACAATGTAGGAAAAATCCCTTTCATTAATACGAGTACAAATGCAAAAATTCGACTGAAAAATAACCGAAGCATCAACTCCGGGGGCCCAACCAACACTGAACCCTCAATAGCATCCACAAAAAAACAATGCGACAACTGAAAACCCAATCCCCGCATACGACGCGACACGACTCTCCGGCGCGATCTTGTTTCAGAAAAGAAAACAAGGTCCGGTTTATTAGAATAAACTAAACTGACAGCAGTTTGGAATGTGAGGGACGGCCCAATTCCTCTCACATTTCAGGCCAAAAGCCTCATTTAACTAACTGGGGCCACTCCAGGCTGGCTTCCTCCACCTTTTTATCATTCACTTCTGCTTCAACGAACTGTTTCTTGGGTGTGGGTACCTCCCCCACCTCACCCTTAACTTCCTCAATCTGTCTCTTTCGTCCCTCCCTAGCCGGATCAGGAAGGTTGGATCCATATTCATCAATTGCTGCCTCCAATACATTCCCTTCCCCTTGGCCCCCATGAGACCCCTTACCCGCCGAATTATCACTCAAGGTTAGGCCAGCTTTGAAGGCAGTGACAACATGACGAACATGACCTTTCGCCACACCACGAACATCTGCACCCTCTATCAAGGGCGATCTCTTTCGTATCTCGAACGAGTTAGCCTCTTTACCATCCGGAGAGTCTAGCAGAGACGAGCCACTCAAACCAGGCGTCGGGGCCAAGTCTCCACGGAGGCTAGGTGAGACCCTAGCAGGAACCGCCACCACTTGGTCAGCACTCCCATTTATTCCTCCACCGTTTGGGATCTTTTTCCCTTTCCTCGACTTGCTCACACCGGCAGCGGAGGTGGGCTGCTTAGCCTGGCCCGCACCCCTCTTCTTAGCAGCCTTAGGGCCGGGTTCTGCCTTCCGCGGCCCAGTCTTCGGCCGACCAGTCTTCGGCCCACCTGGTCCTGTCCGC